TAACAGAAGCTTACGCTATTAAACTAGTAACCTGACTCGCGCAGAGGAAGAAATAAACGAATAGTTGAAATAAAGTCGTTATTTTTGTTGTTTTTTTTGTGCACAAAAGTGTTCTCGTCGTTTGATAAACTTAATATTGAGCCCCTGTAGTCACTTGGACTATTTTAACGATGTCTTTAATGACTTTTCAGGGACAGCAAGAGCCAGTCCCTCAAGAAGCCTACGGACTGTATGCAGGAGCGATCTTAATATCTTAAATATCTTAATTTGTGCTCCGAAGATGAACGAAGGTCTTACGGGGTTGGAACAACATGAGGGTGAGTAAATACTGACAGAATTTTCATTTTTGGGTGAACTAACCCTTTAACATCAGTTAATTCATTAGGTATCCTGAACTAACAATGTACAATACGAGAATAGCATTTATTAATTTATGTAAATGGTAATCAATAAACTATACTTTAATATACTTTCAGCTTTTCAAGTTGTATTAATGCACAACGATTTTAATGTGAAGGCAAAGAACCGCCGACACAAAGCAGAGTGAGATATGAGATGCGTGTGTGAATTACCTGCATCTGTGCAGCGTCCCTGTCTCTCTATATTAACGGCAATGCTGTGAGTTTAATTATTTCAAAACTGATGTTACCCCGTTCCTGAGAAACAATGTAGCCATTAGGTAATGAAGCTATTTTATTAATAAACGTCGCAGGGCAGTGTTCATCAGTTTCTGTGGTCCCGAACGTTTCTGTGTGCAGTGTGATCTCTGGTCAAAGTGTGCAAGTGACATAATATGAGAGAGTGTACGTTAATGAAAGAAAAACGCTGAATAAACTGACTTGGAACCAGCCTAATATTCAGACAGACCATGGTATAAACATGAATTAACAATAGTACATTTACAAATTATCTTTAACATAGATGAATAAATTCATAATTTTAGTTCATAATACAAAATGCAACTGTTAACAAATTAAAGGTATAGTAAAGTGTCTACTATATTAAACTATATTAATGCATGTTAACACTTTGCTGAAAACAACCATATGGCATTCAAAAGAGGAGCACAACATCTGCAGATCAAATTTGCTGTTGTAGTGCTTTCGACAGACATGTGTTCTTTAGACCAAACACCTGCAAGAAACACTACTAAGATGGCCGCTGTTCCACAAAACACATCATACTTTGTTGTACAAAATAGGACTTTCTTTGAATCAACTAATGTTAGTTAACATAGAAAACACATTCAGATAGCATAAATGCACATATATTACGAACCAATCAAGCACAATAGATTTTAGACTATTTTGCAATTTCATGATCTGTTTTAAATTTAGATTTTAAATTTCATTTTAAGCATTCATTAAAAAAAAAAAAAAAGTACAAATTATACCAATTGAGCAAAAATGTATTAAAATGTTTCAGTCTGTAATAGAAAGGTTGTTTTGAAGTATAGATGTGCCTCTGTGGAAGAACAGATTATTTCCAGTTATTCATTATGTCCAAGTATGCCTTAAATTCCCAAGTGGTATTTTTCATTGTCAAGAGATATGAAATGGTGAGAGTCTGTTAAGATTCAACCGTTGTATTTCTCCAGAATGAGCAACAAGGACACTCCTGCACCATTGAATGTGTGCATTTTTTTATTCAAGTGACAATTCTGAATATACAGTTGGTCATACTTCTAAAACCTAATCTTATTACGAGAGCCTTGTTGCAAAACTCTGGAGATCTGCAGACAAACGATCAAGATCGATCAAGAGCTTCCATCAAAATCCCTCTGCAAAGTCAACTGCACGTTTTATAACATATGCTGTATGAGCAGGTCAAACTACAGCCATATACTAACATGAATCTAAATGCTGAACAAGGTGTTGGTGAAGAGAATGTGAAGCAGATCTACACGTCTAAGGCTAAGACTGTCAGTGGTGTCCAATACTGCTCCTTGGCTTTTCTGCTTAGTTTAGCTCCAACCCTAATCCCAAACACCAGAACCAGCTTATCAGGGTAACTAGAAGCTTTCAAACAGGTATGTTGCATCAGGTTGGAAATAAACTCTTCAGGATTGGATGATGAACTCTATTGGCATAGATTTGTAGCTACCATTTTTTTTTTTTTAGTTTTTCTGTTTAAAAAAGTTATTTTCTATATTTTATTATTATTATTTTCTATTATTATTTTCGTTTAAAATAGAATACAGTGTTTTCACCCAAATAAAGAATACACCCAAAAATAAATTCTGTCATCATTTACTCACCCTCAAATTGTTCCAAACCTGTATGAGAAAGAAGATATTTTGAAGAATGTCGATAACCAAACAGTTGATGTACAACTCTATGCAACTCCAACCATTTGGTTACCAACATTCATCAAATTATCTTCTTTTGTGTGTTTAGCAGAACAGGTTTGGAACAACATAAGGGTGAGTAAATGATGACAATTTAAAATTTTAATTCTATTTTAAAAGAAAATCTTTTAGTAATTAAATATAAGATATAGTTCAAAAAGTGTCTTAAAAATAATGAAGTCCGTACCACAACTATAACGATAACAGATTAGAGAGGAAAAAAAAAAATGTATCATTCTAATCACTTTTCCAGCATATGAAGGATAAAAAACATTAACCGCCAATCATAATCCATCCTGCTTTAAAGAGATTGAGTATTTTTAGTAGCAGACACCAAAACTGCAGTGCGTGCTTATAGTAAACAGGACATTACCATACGTTGGTGTGGACGCTAATAGTTATCGTTATAGGTGTGAATGGGCCTTTAGATTTCTAGGAAATATCAAATTTATTAGCCAAATAATGACACTGCAGAGACATTGTGAATGGAGCTCAATTCATCCTTGATACTATAGGGGCTCTCACACTTCATTTCATCTCATCTCCCAACAAGAAAAAAAAAATCCTTCTCAGGACAATTAAAATAGCAACAATTGTTGTTCGCTTTTGAGCTATGAGGAAATGTGCAACTGTTTGCAACCTTGTTATGACAACACATTTAAAATCAAAAAGTGAAGAAAACAAAAAGGATATTACTGTACCTCCGCACTTCACAGGGGATTATAGAAGACATGATAGAGATCATCAAATTACTAAATTCAGAATACATTTCACATTTAGGCAAAATCAAGCCAATAACACCAAATCTGGTCAAATATTTCAGAAGAGCTCCATCAAAATACATTTGAGTGTATTTAGGTCACTTTTCAAAATCACATTTTCAGCTTTAACAACAACCAAAAAATAATATACATTCAACATTGAATCTTGATGTATAGCTGAGAGACCACGGGTGTCCAATCCTGTTCCTGGAGGTCCACCTGCAGAGTTCAGTTCCGACCCTGATCTTGCTCCTGAATATGTTAATTAGCTGCTTTAGTTGTGTTTGATTAGGGTTGGACCTGAACTTTGCAGGAAGATCTTCAGGAACAGGATTGGGCAACTCTGGTCTAGCAAAATGGACAAAAGCTGTACTAAACTGTGTATAGAGGTGCATAACAGCAGGGTTCAGTTTGGTAAAAATCAGTTAATCCATCATTAGGCATCATGAACTAACAACAACAGCATGTAGAAATCTTGGATAAATGTTATCCATAATGTATCATGAACTAACATCATTAAACAAAAATATATATTTATAAATTAAATGCTGTAAAAATTGTTAGTTCATGGCATCTAATACATTAAAGGGTCAGTTCACCCAAACCTTTGCCAATTCTGTGAACAATCACTCACTCTCATGTCGTTCCAAACCCGTAAGACTTTCGTTAATTTTCAGAACACAAATGAAGATCTTTTTTAATAAAATCTGAGAGGTTTCTATCCCTCCAATTAAAGCCCAAGCAACTACCACTTTTAAGCCCCAGGAAGGTAGTAAAGACATTATTAAAGTAATCCATGTGATTCCAAAGCGAGTGCTTGCTTTGTGCAAAAAGAATTTACCAACACGCATTCGTGTTGTGTTGACACATGAGCAGACGTATTGCATTTAACGTGCGTTGGAGTTTAATATTTTGTAAATAAAGTTGAAAATTATGTTTTTTTGTTGTTGCACGAAGCACATAGCTTAATAAAATTGAGGTTAAACACCGAAGTTATACATGGATTACTTTAATGATGTTTTTTACTACATTCCTGGGGCTTGTAAGCTCTTAATTTCATTAAAAATATTTTTATTTGTGTTCCGAAGATGAAGCAACGACATGAGGGCGAGTAATTAATGACATAATTGTCATTTTTGGGTGAACTATCCCTTTAAAGGTTTACTCAATAACACACAAACTTTAGTGAAAAATATCTCATCATCCAAAAACACTGTAGGCTTTTCTTTTTAATAGTAGCAATATACAGACTTGTATTGTCCAAAACTGTACCATTTTTTCATAAACTAAAAATTCATGTCCTTCACATATTAAAAAGCTTTCAAATCATTATAAAATCTAAAATAATCAGCAGAAAAATCTGACTAACAGATCTGACTTGATTACAATGTTGTTAATATATGCATATTTATGTCTTTTTAATATTGGTTTCATGTCATACAACGCCAGATAACATTTTTAGGTACAAATTGTAACAGCCTCACTTCCATGGCGTAAATCTTTAACAGTTAACTGCATATAAACATAGGCTATATATAAAAATAGTTAAAAATTCTTTTATTTATAACTCATGCATGCAAGTTTTAAAATCAAGTGAAAATGTGAGATTGAAAACCGGTCAGTTTTCTACCGCTCAAGACAATGGGGCTCATTTGTCTTTACAGAAAAGGGTTAATACAATCTTAATTCAACATGGTCTAACTATAATTCACTAGTGCCGAGAGCCCGTATTGTCATGCAGCAGAAGAAATGACATGTAGAGCCCAACATTCAAGAGAATCCACATTTCAGTTTTGATGGAGCCCTTCTTAAATGAGGCACCTGTGGGGCATTTGAATGGATGCAAGGGACAGAGATACAGTTACTCTGCGCAGCAGTTAGAGATGACTTACTCTGCCTTGGCTCCCTGGACCAGGAGGGTGGTAATGCAGTCAATGCTGCCTGCACGGGCCGCTTTGTGGAGGGGGGTTTCACCAACATAGTCCTACAAAACAAACAAACAAACAGAGAGAGAAAGATAGAGAAAATCTAAAGCACCAGTTGGAAAATTTTGTCTGAAGATCATTTGTCACAAAAATTATTTTAATTGTTTTGCAACTGCAATATCTTTCCATTTCAAATTCTTCATTTTTTTAACTCGTCTTCTGCATGTCTGATAACCAAACCAGCAAAACTTACTACATTATGTGAACCTTAAAATAAAGTGAGAGCAGAATGTCACAGTTGTAATGTCAGCGTGCAGCAGAAACGACACTCTCAGAGGTTGCTACTCAATCTTTCAGTCCAAATAAAGAAATGCTACGAAATTAGCCTTTGTATTTGCTTAAGATGTGGGCCAATGTGTTTGAAATTTAAAGCGAACCATGATTGTGGTTCTTAAAATAATTTAGATCAACTCAACTAATTGCAATCATGTAATAATTGTGACAGGTTAAGCAGATCTATTAGATAAAGCAAATGTCCGCAAAGTGTTATTTTAGAATTTTTTGTGATTAACTTTATAGCGTTTATTAATAAAAGGAGCCAATTCACTTTCATTCAAGTTAGTTTTAGTAATTTTGTCATGTGCTTTTTTTATTTAGCGTTTCAGTTCGAGTAATTATAGCACTTCAACTGTATTTCAAACTGTCTTCCTCTTAGCTAGTTGCTAAGGCAACATTTCTCATTTTTGGCTATGTTTTTTTTTTGTAATTTTACTTCAGTTTTAAGCCAATTTTAGTTACACTTTATTGTTAGGTGAGGTAGATGCATAGTACTTAATTAAGTACTGCACATTAACTAACAACATGTACTTAATATACAGTTAAGGTTAGATTGAGAGTTATTTACTTGTGGTCATGCATAATTTACTGTTATTAGAAGGTACAGTACATGTCATGCAGTAACATGTAACTATGGTCACCTTAAAATAAAATCTAACCCAATGTGTGTAGACTACCTAGAGTGCTGAATATGGCAGCACTCACTATTTTGCTGGAAGTGAAAGTGCAATCTCTTGGTCACAACCCAGCCCTATCATTTATTTAGAAGCTGGTGGATCATTCTGGCAGAGCAGCAAAGGCGCTCCCAGCAGGAGCAATAAAATTTTCGCTTTGACAGAGAGCTACAGTAAACACTTAAATGAGTGGCTGAGCTTCACCCAACCCTTTCAGCAAAAATTATTCACTGGAAAAGATTGTGTGCAAAACTTATCGAAGTATCAAAAGACAAGACTGTGTGAGAGAGAGAGAGCAGTCGGTGGGAAGGGTCATGCCCTTAAATGAATAATGCTGAACTGTCTGTCTGAGCCACCGGGAATGTGAAACTAGCCTATATTTGGAGAACGCATCACGGGTTATGTAACAATGGCCTAGTAATCTAATTTCTCTGCTGTAACGCACCAATGAATGGTAGGGGTGGAGAATACATGAACAAACGGAAATGTGCTCATATGCTGATGGGGATTACCACATTCTGCACATATGGAAAACATAAGTGATGCAGCACATGAACACAGTGAAACAACCACAGTCATGATGAATGAAGAATCAAAAAACTCTGCACCGAGAAAACTCAGGCTGATTGGGTCTGGTATAAGCCTTAATTCACAAACACCTCTACTTTCAAATGGGGAAACTGGGTTGACGGTATGACTACAGTCTTAAATCAAGCTGGGACTCTTCTTGATAGGATCTCATTTTATTTACAGAAGATGTTGCCAGAATTTCACCTTAAAAACTACAGTGACAATGTTTCAGGTTTTACAGGACAGCATATTGGTACCTTTATATTTTAGAACTTATACCCAAATAATTTCATTAAGTGATAGGCTATAATGTTTAGGCCACCATAAATAAAGCAAAATCGAAGAAAAATGAACAAAATCAGGCCAAAATGAAGTTTGTTTGGATTTTGAACAAGCTTGCCAAAGCGAACCATCCAAAAAAGGTTGAGGTGAGGTCAGACGTCCATCCGCCAGTAAACAAAACAAACATACTGTAGAGCCGTTTTATAGTAGAAATTGAAAAGTTGTGATTCTAATTAAAAGTATTAAATATCGAGCACTATATCAAACATTTTTTTCAATATTGTTACTGACAATGGTGTACCATCAATAATTACCGATACCGTTTTATCGTCCAACCCTAATCAGGGCCTTTAATATACCAATCTACCAAAACCAAAATCAGCTTTTTTACCTTAAATGTACTGTTAATCACCATGATAATCATAAATGGCCTGTCCATAAAACATGGTCAAAACTCATATATAGACCGAGATCAAACTCGTATATAGACACAGGGTCATACACACAAACATAAAACACCACACTAAAATAATGCAATAAACATTAAACATATAACACTAAACATATTCATTACTGATATAAAAAAAATGAGAAGAAACCAAATTTATATAAAATAACATCCACAGAAAATGATGTGACAGTTCATAGTTTTTACCATTAAAATACAAACAAATTTTAATGTATTTTATTGTAAAATGACAATTCAATGTTAGGCCATACAGTTTTTTTTTTTTGAACAAAAAACAGCTTCATGTTCTTGAAGTAAAAACAAAAGTTGTATGAGATTTGTTAATTCGTTCTTATTTTATTACTGTTTCTTTGTTTTGGTAAATTTAGGGTAGTTCAAATATAGCATAGTTCAAATGTAATAATAACAAATGATTTGTATGGCGGTATTTATGACAGTTTTTCCCGTGGCATCGAAAATCAAAATTTTTCAAGATATTGTATGGAAGTTGGAAATTCCAGGATCGTGACAACACTACTGCTTAGTTTTCTCACATAACTCCACGTTGACAGCTGCAGTTTAAATAGGCCTAACATTGTAACAGTAATTGTCTTACCTGTCTGTTTATATCAGCTCCAGCTTGCAGCAGCCAGAGCAAGCACTGAGGATGACCCCCAAAGGCAGCAATGTGAGCAGGCGTCTGGGCAAACCGAGAGGTCACAGAGTTCACACCACATCCCACCTGCATCAGACGCATTACACACTCCAGCTGGGTGATGGGAGAGGACAAAGGAAAAGTTTATTTTAATAGTGCTCAACTGATATGGGCTTTTCAATAGCTGTTGGTAATTGATACCGATAAAGCAGGATAGCAGATATATAATGTCGATATTATAAATACAATACAAAAAAATGCATATTTAAAATACAATTTTACAGTTAAAATACAGTTATTTTGAATAAGGTTCCTTCACATTTCCAGGGTTCTCAGTAGTGGATTTTGTCCTAAGTTGCGTAAACTTGTATAGTGGTAAACGGGTCGGAAACTACAACAAATATCATTTTTACATTCCCATTTGCTCGAATAGCAAAATAAAAAAATAAAATAAAAAAATCCACAATGACATTTTTACAAAAGTGGAAACAAATATCTAGCTAGAGATTGATTATGTTGGTCAGAAGAGCAAAATGTCAAATTTGCCACACCAGACGATGGGTTAACAACACCTCTGTTAATCATCTAAATCAGACATAATAATTGGTCTTGCTTTAACGCACATGGCTAAGAAAACAATCGCATTTGACAAAGGAGACATTGAGTACATTTGACAGATAGTTATAACAGCATTTTCAGCATTCCTTGATTCTCATTCCTGCAAGATCTCAAATGTCACCCTGACTTTTCCTGTTATTCATGTAATCAACAGTGCAGTGCCTTAAAAACAATTCTCCTCAAGACACTCCCATGCTTAGAAGACATTACACCCATCCAGATGAAGCAAAAAACACAGAGAAAGTGGGAGTGGCAAGTTTACAGCTTCCCCATTCTCGATATATCAGATTTGGCATCACTTTAATTCAGCTGGAATCTAAAACCCTTTTGATCAAGCTTATACACTCTGACACTGCCTTGAAAGATTGCAGTGCAAGTTCATGCATGCATCCTGTGGTGCTATAAATGTGGAGAAAATGTTTTCCCTTTTCAGTAACACATTTCTAAAAATAAACCAATGGGCTGATGTTTATATCAGCCTGCTGTCTCTCATACTTCATCTGGTTGGGGAACTTTGAGACATCTGAGAACACGACACATCAGGCATCAGTTACATGAATAATGTAGCCATTCAGAAAGAGAGGAGAACCTGAAGTTCAGCATCATTACCTGAGGAAAGACTACACCCACAGGTATCAATATAAAAACACACTTGTGTGAATACTCAAATGTTTGACCATGTGAATCAAAAACACATATTCATAAGGGTTAATTGACCCAAACATGAAATTTGTGTCATCATTTATTCACCCTCAAGTAGTTCCAAACCTGTATGAGTTTCTTCTGTTGAAGACAAAAGATGATATTTTGAAGAATGCTGTTGACAGTAGCATTGACTTCCATTGTATTTTTTTTTCCTACTACGAATGTAAATGGGTAACTTAACGTTACCGTCCACTTTCTGGTTCACTACATGATTTAAAATATCTTCTTTTGTGTTCAATAGAAGACAAATGCAGGTTTGGAATAATGTGGGCAAGTAACGTTAGGCCTAATTATTGGGGTGAACCATCCCTTTAAATCAGTGTAACGTTAACCGTTTTACTTTCATCGTGTCTAAACAGAAATTATCGAAATATTCCTCTGATGACGGTAATTCATAAAATTAAAGTGTTATTTATTTGTCATAAGCTAACGTTATATAGTATAAAATGAATGAATAAATCAATACAACATATTTGTACGTGTGATATTTTATATGGAATGCAAAAATTACATTAGCTGCTCTTCATGTCATCGTCAGCAACAACTGCATTTCTTTTCTACGTCTTAAAGGATCCTGTTTTAACTGCAACGTTAAAAAATCGTCTTCGTATCGTTCTTGGCTTCTAGTACAAGCTTATAATCACGACACAGTAAAACGGAAAAACAAATGAAAAGGAAATCCAAGCCAAACTGCCTTTGGCAGTTTACGACACGCACTGAATGAAAGCGCATTTTCAACTAACCGTCAGTGCACGTCAGATACAACACGATGACATTTGCCCGGATTAATGATCTGATTCTGTTCTGACGCGGTTTGAATACCATCGCGAATGACTTTATGATCTTATGGGGAGTAACGAATATATTTGTGCACATTGAGGCAGGGTGATGATTTAACTGTGCGTGATGATGATGTACCTTGCCGAAGTGTGCAGCCCAGTGTAGAGGCGTCCACCCGTAGAAGGAGTCCTCCACCGAGAGCTGGTCTGCGCTGCACTGGAGGAGCGAGCACAGCGCGCCCACATCTCCATCTCTGCACGCCCGGTGAAGAGGGAAGCGAATATTCAGCACCTCCTCGCTAGAAAACCCAGATTCCAGTCCCACCGACATTACTGAACACTCGCTTTTACAAATGCGTGCAAACAGGAATTGTCTCAAAAATGGTGGACTTCACACGATGTCTGCTCTTATTAAGTGCACCGCCCAAACAAAGAGCTTACAAAGGGGAGGCGACGCGAAACTAGACGCGCTCAGCGTCCTCACATCACACACTGCGCGCTGGTTGAAGGAACGAAGCTTCAGGGAATCTCTCAAAACCTAAAACGGACCATTTTTGATTCAGGAATGGAACTATGGCCCGCTACAATGACCGTACGTCAAATCCCGAAACGGATCACTTGAGACTCAGTACCGAGGCTGCGCATGCCCACTAAACCTAACACAAAACCAAACGGACCTGGAAGGAGCCTGCGCGTGCCCACTAAACGCCCCTCAAAACCAGAAACGGATCCCTTGAGACTTAGGACTGACACTGCGCATGCTCATTACAAAATAAACGTAGCACAAAGCCAGATAAGGGAAACCTCGAGGATCCGGACTCGGAGGATGGAGGAGTCACGCATGAGCTTTGCAATGCGAACGTGGTGTGGCGAAGAGCACGGTTCCAAGTTCACCTATGGTCCCAACAATGGCAGAAGCAGAACCGTCACATAAAACTATTTTGAAAGTAGCCTACTAAAATGGCATTCTTATGTCCCATAAGAAAATACAGTAACACTTTATTTAACAGTTTCATTGTTAGATTTGTTGCATGTTGTTAGTTATAACTATACATTAAGCATTATTATACTAAACCAAACCTAACCATAGTGAGTACTTGAAGTTGCTTAACATTACTCCGTTCTTAAATGTATAACAGTGTAACAAAGACACCTTAGAATAAAGTGTAACCTTTAATATATTTTACCCCAAGATTTTTTTGGATAAAGTTAGAAACTACACCTTTTCTCAGGTATTCATCATATGAATTACACTATACAAATTGTTCTAATTTATCACAAAACGTTTTTTGAATGCATTTTTTTTTTTAAATAAGTGTAATGCAAATGAGAAACAGTATAGGAACAATAATAATGTGTTACATTTATATAGCACTTTTCTCGGGCACTCAAAGCGCTTTACATACAGTAGAAGGGGGGGGGGGGGTGATCTCCTCAAACACAACTTGAATTTACATAATAAAAGCCCCATATTCTATGGTTCTCAAGATATTGGAATCCATAGAAAATAACAGAGTACAAAAATGAATGGTATTAAAACTTACCACTTTTTGTACAGTCCCCCCACAACAATTTCCATCATACCAACCTAAATCATGTTCAGACATTCATTATCCACGCAGAGGGAATAATACAAAACATAAACAGTTATAAGTAAAACTTTCATGTTAGTTTAATATGTAGAATAACAAACTTTATCTAAAAGTGACAGCCACTTTCAATTAAATGTAATTTGACCCACACATTAAATGGGGATTGTGAGTTATTGACAGAAGACACAGTGTTAAACAGCTTATTGTAAGGAGAACATCCACTATAAAGATTTTTTTCAATACTTGAAGGTGAGCGTTTTTCAAGCAGACTAATAAATAAATTGCAGCTGGTAGTAAGACAGCAATTCATTCTTAGAGGGACATTGTTAAAACTATCTCTTGGTGGGCTATCATATACAAATCTAATCACTCGCAAACTAACACACATCAAAAGACATACATTTAAAAAAAAGAAAAAGAAAACAATGGACGTTTATAGAGGGCCACCACACAGATATGAAAGAGGAGGAGTAGTTGATACTGTCTCGCAGAACTACAAGAGGCACTTAAAATAAAAGGGAAAAGAAAAAAAAGAACAGGTACTCAACAATGTACTTCATGTTTATTTAACAAGTAGCGTTAAGATGCAGACCTTTAGTCTTTATAATGGCCATAAAAAGATAACGGACACACACATTTTAGCTTTCAAACAACTTCTTGAAAGCGCTGCTTATCTCCTGGATCATGTCAGAGGTGGTGGTTGATCTGCTGTGTTTGTGGAAGGCCTGGCGATTACATTGCCTTGTCAGAGACGTAGCACCGAATGCAGCAACCAGCGCAGGATTCATGCTGAAAAAAAAAAAAAAAACACGTACAATTATAGTGGCCATATTCTCTTTTACAAACTAAAAGAGAATAAAATAGGTCTACTAAAATAGGTTAAATGCTTTTTTTTCTTCACATATTTGACATTGCAGCACCTCGCTTCCCAGTCTGTCATTAACACCGTTTAGTTCCTGTCTCTATGAAGCCCAGTGTGTGTGTTCTGATTAGTCAACTGGGCCATTGTGTTGTGATTGGTCAACCGCATAAAGTCTGTTTTGGAAGCATCATGCCTTTTACCATAACCGTGAGTTTCAACACACTACTAACGCAAATACGTTTTTTGGGTGGGAATTATTTAAAAGAATAATATTGTCACATTTCCGGTCGAAAACTAAAGACTACAATGACAACAGTATTTACTGATATTAGAGAATAACTCCCTTTGGATTGACTTTGTGCTTTGTACCTTTTTCATGCTCAAACTGCACCATTACACACTAAACAAAATTGATGCAACAAAATGTAACAAAGCATAATTGGTCCTCTTTTAACTCAGAGTGATATTCAATAACACATCAAATAACTACTGAAGATGGAGCACTTTACCCTTTAGTGGCATCTGGAGGTGAGCTGAACGCCCAATGAGCGAAAACTCCAAGGGAACCAGAGAGCAGATCTCCCTGTCCTCCGCAGCGCCGCCCACTGCCCTCTTGACTACAGGTCAGCACTGAAAGTATGTAGAAACACAACACATTAGAGAAAGAAAATAGAGCATTGGAACCTCATAAAGTCTAAATATTTCAAGAAAGCCACTTACTGTTCTTTCCATCAGTAATAATGTCCTCTTCCCCCTTTAAAACCATGGTCAGATTGCCCAAGGCGATGGTCAGTTGTTGAGCACTTCTCTTGTGGTCGGTGCTGTCCAGAGGTTCATGATGCTGAAATCAAAGTTTAATTTAGCACGTACACTGCAACTGTTTGAATTAGGTGCCTGTAAAAGCCCCCATATACTCTGGGTCTTTTTCCTCTAAGGGTAAAAAGGAGATTTAAATACATGACCCGTGATAATACTGTTAGTGAACAAGGGTGCAAGGTCAACCGTAAAAAAACACGCAAAGCATCCGAGGAAAGATGAAGTGAGGGCACCAGAGGTTATGTGTGGGGTCATTTTATGTTTAAAGGCAAAAGTAACAACTTTATGACTATACGTTTGCATTTGCAGAATTCTGTTTTGTGTAAATTAAGTTGTAATATGGCGTTTATTTCACATTGCCCTTTATGTATCCGATTTATCTTCGGTTGTGAATGAATGGTATATAAAGTACACCGGCGATGATCTTTGTCATCTCAAACAGCATTGCAGGACAGTAATAACCACTATGATTGGAACAGTCATATTTGTCAAATGTCAGTGGTCCCACTCATCGTCTAATTCACTAGATTTAATTATATCATATGGAACCAATCCAACTGATATAGATATTATACCGCAAACTGATGATGTCACTGATCATTACATGGTAACTTGCATAATACGTACTGCTGAAATTTGTCATATTGCGCCATGTTATAGACCAGGCAGAACAATCCTTCCAACCACTAAAGATAGATTCTATAAATACTGTTCGTTTTCTCACACAAACCGCTCGTTTCGTGTCTTAGGCCATCAATGTGTACTTACATTTACGAGTCATTAAATCATGTTTAATTTGGACTTCTCTGTGCATGCTCTTTGAGGTGGACCAGAGGTGAAACCCATAAACCTCCATTATATGAATGACAGACAAGAACGGTTTGACCAAAAAATATCAAAATTGAAAATACTGTGGAAACAAAGACACTCTTGAGGTAAGCTAAAACAAATCAAACATTATTTTCAAAGTGAACGATACCTTGAAGTCCCATCTGAAATAACCAGATTCAAACAAAGCCTTACAGAGATATTACATAGAAATAGAACTAGTGCAGGTACATAGAATGTTTTAGCACAACCAAAACTCACCATGGCCTCATACAGACGAGTAAACTCCATAAAGTTGGGTGTGAGGATTCCTCTCTGATATCCTTGAATGACTGATGGTTCTTTTGCCACTAACCAAAGGCCATCCTGTATAAGAAAATTAAAATAAATGAGTTTACACAATTGACTATTTTATTCAGCATTTAGATTTAGAACATGCAATGTGCATTAATACTGTAATGTTTAAAAGCTATGACGGAGCTATTATCTCTGACCCAGTTCACTGAATCTATTGGCAACATGCCCAGTAATGAAAGCTTATTGATCAGTGAAGTGACATCAAGGCCAAGGCTTTTGTCCTCTGCATTCAACCTATGTAAGTTAGTGCACTTAAGTGAGGAGCAGTGAGTAGTAAACACACACACTGCAAACCATGACTAACCCATGTGATTGGGTTAAGGTGACACCTCAGTTATTTCCTGCTGGTATTGAGAGTCATACCCGCGACCTTCTGGTCACAAGTCCGACTCTCGAACCATTAGGCCAGTGTCAGTTAAACAGTACTCACAGCGTCAATGATGATTGGTATTCCTCTGAGTTTTGACCTCTCAATAATCTCCTAAAAAGAAACATGAGCCAAACATAAATTAAAACAACATAAACACAAACGTAAAAATACATAATATTAGCAAGCTCTCTAGAAATACAATTTTCACCAAAATCTTAATTTATACAACCAGTTAAAAGTGTGCGCACTCCTGGTTTGTGTATCATCGATCATTCAGTTATTCCATTAAATCTGACAAACGAAATGCTGGCGTTTCATGGAGCAATGAGTGATAAAATGGCTTTTTTGTTTTTGTGTAACAAATGGAAAACAAGGTTTTGGATTAATATCCCCTATTTTTTTGTGGTTTATGAATCTGTTCATGGCTTAATATTTCATTTGCGAAGGTGGCACAGAAATGCCCATTTTATCTGACTGGTCAAATCGCATCCTCGCACAGCACTGCCAATGTTTTTACACTTTTATAAAATATTGTCGCACATGGTTAACAGCACTTGCCATTTTAGGCAGAAATATGTTTCTGGGCACATAATTAGAGCTGCTGTGGTCTACATAGTCTATTATATTTTCCTTGTTCAGCCTATTCTTTTTATATTTAAAAAAAATGCTATGATTTCAAGTTCCATTAATGATTACAATGAAAATAATTCTGTGACTTTGGACAAAAGTGAAATGTTTGGTTTCTGTATGGGAATTTGGGCAACAGATAGATTTGAGCTTTAAACAACTACATTCTCACCTGAAAAACTTTTTCGTGACACAATAACAGTAGTATTATATTTCAAGTACTGTCAGTGGCGTAACTTTGTTTTAAAAAGTGGGTGGGACATGTGTATAAATAAATGAATCACGTGACACGTGAATAAAAACATAAATCCGACTTTAAAACATGTCCAGTGGAATAGCCTATACAGAAAGTCCTGTAAAATTAAACGAATAAATTGACCTAATAATATGAATAAAAATTATAAAAACCAAAATATCCATAAAAGTTTTAAAAGTAAATTAACTATTAAGCCAGAATTTTGATAACTGATTTTTTGCAGAACACACACGATTAAAATTTAAATTGGCTTATATCCATTGTACACACAAACTGCTGTACAATTAAACGAATAAATGGGCCTAATAATATAAATAAAGATAAAAAAAATAAGTGTATAAACAAAAATGTAAAAAAATAAAATAAAATAAAGGCCTACATAAACATTTTAAAAGTAAATAAAAAAATTAAATTAACTATTAGGCCAACATTTTGATAACTAAACGTTTGCACAGCGCTCACAAATAAAATAAAATGATGCTTATATCAATTGTACAAAAAAATGCTGTAAAATCAAACGAATCAATGGGCCTAATTATATATAAATTAAACTTAAAAAAGAATGAAAGAAAGAAAGAAAGAAAGAAAGAAAGAAAGAAAGAAAGAAAGAAAGAAAGAAAGAAAGAAAGAAAGAAAGAAAGAAAGAAAGAAAGAAAGAAAATGAATTGCTTTCCTTATCTACAGTTCTTTTGAGTTCACCTTCAAGAACACAAGTTTGGACAATGTCTGAGGCTTCAGACTCATGCGGTGGTTGCGGAGAAAACCGTCTCTGCCCTTGCAGACCCGCTTGGGATGCTGAACACAATGCGAGCTTCTTTAGCCAGGCGGGGGAAAGAAATGGAGTCAGACTCGTGGTGTGAGCCAACGCGAGCGAAATTGGAGCGGGAAATAGGGCGACGCTCATTCCTTTTAAAAAAATGCCCCTTTGCGCTCTGTCCAAGATCCGCCCGCTCGCGCTCCACTCCGCTCACATGCTCTGCACCGGAACGAACAAATAGTCTCCGAAACGGATTGAAGCGCGCATGTGAAGATGTGAAGACTGTGTGTGAGCCACGAGATACACTGTAACCGCGCTACCGATCGCAAGCGGCAAAGAGTACTTTGATCACTTGATTTAAAAAACAACGTATTTCAGGGCTAGATCGCTTCTTTTATTTTACAAACGAACTAAATTAATGGTCTGTCAGTTGGAGATGTTTTATTTATTTCTACTGTTAGATCCGTGCCGCGAGAGCTTTTAAAAGTGGTGGGGACAATATCGACCCTGGCAAAAAGTGGTGGGGACATGTCCCACCCGTCCCACCCGCAAATTACGCCCCTGAGTACTGTATATTTAAAAAAAGGTGCTTCTAATGTTGTCATTCCTCTTGCAGCACGCGCAAGTGACGATACTCTGGCCAACCAATCAACTCTAGCTCCAGTATTGAGTCTAGCTACAACCTTTAGTACACAATTATTTGCGTTTCCACGGTCTAAAGATGTGAATGGTACCAAAATGCCGAATCGTACTGTACTACTTTTTGGGTACCCTTCCGTACTGTACCACCTAGCTCATTGGTACAGTATGGTTTGACACATCGCACCGCTAAGTGGAAATGAGCCATTAGCTTCAGAAGGCCTTTATTAACCCCCTGGAGTCGTGTGGACTACTGGACTACTTATGATGGATTGATATGCATTTTTGGGCTTATTCATTCCCATTATAAAGCGTGGAAGAGCGAGGATATTTTTTCAATATAACTCAGATTTTTGCTTAAAGATGATTACATTTTCATTTCTGGGTGAACTAACTCTTTACCTACGTCTAAATTTGTGGTCGATACTACACAATAGATTCAGAAAGAAATTAACCTTTTAAAATGGAATGCTTTCAGTGTTGCATATTAGGAGTGACTACATTACCACAAGACATGCTTATAAAGCATAATTTCTCTTGCCTTTGCATTCTTCAGAAGCATATCCTCCCTACCCAGACCTGGTCCCACAACCAGACTGTGAAGCCTGGGCAGCCATTTTTCAATCTCCTCCACAGCATTGGGACTGTCTCTGGAGAAACACACAGACGGGAGCGAAACATCATCACAAAAGAACCGTCATACAAAAATTATCACGCTATGATATTGGCAATAAATACAAAAATGTTTTAGCTTGCATGATACACAGAATCAATTCACTGGTAATCAAAGTTCCTGCTCACAGCACTGGATGAACGATGAGTTCAGGACTGTAGGACTTGATGACTGGAGCTGCATCTTTGGTACAGAACACATGAGACAGATCGGCTCCCTGGAAACAGAAAGGAAGAGTAGAAAGTTAATGACTAGTGATTTAATTGATCTAAATCGGAGTGATCGATAAATGAGTCGATCTGGAAATGCAACCACTTAAGTATTTTGGAGACAATTTACTGTGTATCTCCCTAAACCAAGGAAAAGTACTTACTACTTTCAAAGCCGAAATAGCCGCAAAGAAAGGTGCTCCCGTGTACCTAACAAGAAAAATATAAAGACTTAAGTTTCATCAAGCAAATATACATCCAGAGAGTTAAAACAGAAGAAAACAGCTTGCTAAGTACTATAACTCGAATCACAGCACCTTGTAATACTATTTGGAGCAGAGAATGACTTGATGGTATGTGGTAGAAAGTTAAAAAGTGAGTTGAGTGCAAGCTCTAGAAATTAAACAGTCTAAACATACCAACATTGAGAAAAGAGAACATGTAAAATGGGATGGAATTGTAATACAATAGGTTGATTAATATAATATGTGATTGTTTAGCTGACCATGAATTAACAAACCATAGAAGCTCCATTACAGTGCTTTACTTAGTAATTTGTTAAGTGTATAGCCCTGAGAAAGATCTGTGCGTCACTTACTCTTGACATCCTCCGATGATCCCAATGCGCCCATCCTGACCCTTGTGTTTTTTGGATGTCAATGGAGGAATAGTCTTTCTTACAAGAGGAATGACACTGTCCATTCCTGCCGTGCCCAGAGAGAAAGAGCGCTCTATGACTGAAGGAAGAACACAGTAACAAACAATCAAAAAACAAATAATCTTTAGCTCTGTTCAGTTCCATGCATTGGGACTATAGTAGTTGACAGCTGGTTTGTTAAAATTACAGTTTAACAGAACTTGTTTACCTAAAATGAAAAGTCTGTCATTATTTATTTGTCTATCATTCATCTATATTTTAAACCATGTTGTTTTTCAACGAAACGCACAAAAAAAAGATATTAAGAATGATAAAACCTAGGGATGCACTACATATCGGCCACCTTATCGCTATGGAGACATATATTTTCATTATTAATGTTATCGGTCCGATAAGAAAATATGATCGATATATTAAAGCTCGGAAAGACTGTATTATTTCCTTCAGCTGAGACACTTCAGATGTGCACTGTTCAACATGATGGTTTTGAATTGCTTGAAATCTGATTGGAATCACTTCAAAAAAGGGAAATTACGGTAAAGTTCAAAATTATCTGTCATAAGGGCTACATAAAAGTGTGAGACTTTTGTTCTCAGGCTCTCAAAAATTTGGCCAATATATCGGTTATCAGCTTTAAAATAAAAAGAATTATCGTGTCGGATGAAAATTTTCCTATTGGTGCATCTCTAATAAAACCAGATACAGCTTGTACTTTCAGAATCTTCTGAAGCCACTTGAACTCTAGGCTTTTATTCACTGAAAATCTTCCCTTCTGCTGTAGCTCATAAATTTTATATTTTACATACCAACCCACAGGTTCACTTATGATAAACTTGAAAACCAACGTCGTTTTATCACTAATGGCATTAAAACTACCCCTATTTATTAATTCTGAGCTTGAACCCAAATTATGTTTCAGAGCTTGAATAGTGAGGAGGATTCTCAGTGAACAATGACACAATGATAAAGCTTAAGAAGACTTGAAATATAGCTGTATGGATGGACTACTTTTATGATGTTTTTTATGGGCCTTTTCAGTCACCATGCAGCATCATCAATGTATGGAAAAGATGTCCACCGTGTCAAAAAAGAAAAACCAAGCCGAATTTTTCTTATTTTTGCTTTTTGCCGGTTAGTCTTTTTTGGGGAAAAATAAACTTTTCTAATTATTCTGCTTTCAATATTAAAAAGGGTAAAAAAAAAAACAAAAAAAAAAAAACACTTGAACAATGCAAGCAAACGAAAAAAACGACACAATTTCCATCTTTGGATTAACTACCTTTTCATTGGATTTTAGCCGTAAAGCATTGAATAAAATGATGGTTTTTGATTTCATATTTGGCAATTAAAAGTAAATGGCAACTCTAGACGAACATTTAGCGTCACCCTCTTCCATGAGCAGACCTGGGCCAGCTGGTTGGCTGTGGCTGGCAAACTCGTTCAAGGCAGATGGATGGTTACGATTCCCAAAAGAGGGACGCATGAGTGGTACGGTGGGGTTAGTCTGGGGTATACAAGAGGGCTGCGGAGTGGCAGACTGCGCAGGAGAGGATGAGGATGTGCTAATGCCAGCGAAAATCTGGCCCAACATCTGCAGCATCTGCAACTCTCTGGAATGTTCCTCCTCCCTGCGCTTATCTTCAGCCTGAAGACGCTGCTCCTCAAGCCGGTAGAAGTTGTCTTCCGCCTCCATGCTCTGCTCCAAGAACTTCTCCATCAGCTTCTCCAGCGACATGTTCGCGAACCGCTTCTTGCTTCTCCGTGGTCTGCTCGACGAGGACGTGGGCGGGTTGGTCTTTGTCAGGCTGCTCTGTTTGGTTGGAAATGAACCTTCGAAAGAAAAAGAGACAAATATTAACATGCACATGCAATAGAGCAAACCAGGCTGATTCAGCTAAAGATGGCAGATCATTTCTTTCTGACTGATCAGAATAAGTTGACATACTCATGCCTCCTACTGTCACCGGAATGGGGCAGGATGGATACTCAGTTTTGACTGTATGCTCCATAAAAGAGCATTCACCACTGCCATCCATGTGAGCCTCCTGCAAGAGTTCAGTGCTCTCAGCATCTTCATCCATCGTTTCATCTCCCCCAACGGCAACACTATCAATATCCTGCCTCTCTGCTAACGGTCTATTGCTCAATATCCTCTCCATCTCGTCGTAGAACTTGCACATCTTGTGGTACTGCCCATTTTTCCTGGATCCCTCCTTCGCTTGGAAATACTGCCTCTTTAAGCTCTTAACCCGTATTCTGCATTGGTCTGGTGTCCTATCGAAGCCCAGTTCGCACAAACGGTTCGCGACGTCTCGGTAAACATGGCTATTCCTAAAGTTTCCGTCCAGCGCCGTCTGCACGTCGTGCTCACCCCAGATATTCAACAGCGCTCTGGTCTCCATGTCCGACCACAGGAAACCGCGCGTTGCATTCACTAGCATGATGGTCGAAGCAACCGAACACGGATGCAACTCGGTTTCGCATCGAACAGGCGGCGGCGATATCTAGGCCTTGTTTTGACGACGTATCATGCAGTTTCCGAGCGCATAGCGATAAAGGCCTCGCCGAGATTAACTGAGAGCTGGTTTATGCAAAGCTGCTTAGAACTTCGCCAGTGTTTACCGCGCCAACAACAGTAAAAACGTCACCACAACGTTGTGTACTACGTCATCGCAAACGTGCGCTCCACGCCACGGCTCAGTGGCGAAACCCGTAAAAATGTTTCCAAGAATACTTTTATGAAAACACTTTCACTCTGCATGTTCAGCTTATCGTTTTCAGGGTTTGAAAAGTGAGAAAAGCTTAACAATAAAAAAAATAAAAGTGTGGTTCAAAACTTGCGTGAGGATATGTAGGCTAATTCAGTTTAACCTCCTGAGACCCGAGAGTTTGCCTGGTGTGCATTTTATAATTTTTCTTGCTATTTGGGACAAGTAGGACCTAATAAGTATAATAACTAAAATTTGTTTTTGTACAGGAAGTAGTTTTTGCATAAAATGATGTCCTCATGCAAGGACAGTGGGTCTATCTTAACTACTTGAGACCTGAGTTTTGGTTTGGTGTGCTTTTAGATTTCTTAGCTTTTTGGGGTTAGGAGGGAGCAAGAAATATAACCAGATATTATATTTGAACATGAAGCACTTTTTGAAAAAACTAAAAACAAAAAATTGTCTGTATGCACAGAAAACAATCAATACACCATTGTGTAAAAAAGTGCAAATCTATTTTTTTTTTACAGCATGAGCATTGTGCCTGAACATTTTTCATTGTTACTCTTGCATGCATAACTTCTGAAAATTGATATGGAAAAACAAAATAAATATAATAATGAAATATAATATCCATAATAATATATAATATCCACATAAAAAAAACCTATCCAAAACAAATTGAAAATTTGATTTCTTTTTTGCAATGCTCCAAAATTTCTGCTTCTCCAAACTAGAAATGTTCTTTTTATCTGTGGGAACAGTGGATCACACTTAGCCGGTGTGAAAGACTGTGTAACTGTTGCCCCTGAACCCTCCATGGGCTTTATTCGTGCCCAGGAGAGGTGCACCATTGGATGCGCAATTCTAAAAATCAGCCCATCTTTTCCAGGGGATTTTTTGATTTTCAGAGCTCCACCACGGTGGAGATCGAGCAAGAGAGAGCGTATGTGTGTGTGTGTGCGCGCGATCGCGAGTGAGTGATGTGTGTGTAAGCGATAGCGAGTGAGTGAGCGAGCGAGAGAGAGAGAGAGAGTGCGCGCGCGTGTGTGTGTGTGTGTGCGAGTGAGCAAGTGTGTGTATGTGTGCATGCGCGATCGTGAGTGAAGCCCCGCCCCGTTGAGTGTGTGTGTGTGTGTGCGCTCGAGTGTGTGAGCCTGCCACGAAGCTCAATGCAACTACAAATTTTCATTTTTTTTTGCAAGTTTCAACGAAGCTTAGTCCCAATGTCCACATATGGGGACATCAACTTTAGCAGCTTGGTAAATCTTTATTTTTACAAAAGTTTGTCAAATGTGCATGCCGTTTCAAACATACAACACTAATATGCATAACTTAACAAGAATCAACAATGAAATGTTATTAGATTGTTTACCTTGTGGAAGTTTTGGTCTGGAGTGGCTGCGTGACATGTGACCTGTTTTCTCTGCCATCTTTAAATTATTTATGTTAATTTTTTTTCTCTTCTGACGCCACCAGATGGCAGTGTAAGTGTCCTCGTTTGTGAAAAACATGTTCCAGTCACACAGAATTAAGTATTATGCTGCACAGAACCAAAAATGTGATGTCCCCGTATGTGCACGCAGGGTCTCAGGAGGTTAAACCGGCCAAATGAGCTGAAGAATCTTAAATGTATAAAACATTAATGAAAAAAAAAAAAAAAAACATTTGTGACATGTGAAATCACTCGGAACATACTCAAATCATACATATATCACCAGGCTTTGCAAACTCGTGGAGTTCACTGTTATGCTTCAATTTATAATGAAAATGCATTAAATTAAAAACAGATCCACGGAAGCAGTTGGGCTCAAAGTGGCACTTTCCTTTGGCATTTACCTTTATCATACAGCAACGCTGCTACAATCGCAATGGTTACAGTTATCACGCCGAGAAGTGAGCATTTACGTCCATGCATCCCGTCCTCCTCAACCTACTCATAGTTTGGGAAATCAACCAACGATAAACTCCGATCTTACCAATTGCCAGAATTAGTGGCTGTTCAGAGAAAATGAAGGTGGCACGTTTGAGCAGATTCATCAAGTTCACGGGTAAACAAACAATGTTCAGGTAGAGAGTGGGCGCTGTGGAGCTTTGCACATGGATTAGATGCAGTATCCAGTCAGATAACAGGAACAAAGTTCAATATTTAATCTAATTAATGAATCTGTGATCGGACTTCTCTCGATCAGATAGACACAGAAGATTATTGTCCTCCCTCTACAATCGTCAGACTTCCGCTGACGCTCTGCTTTTGTCGCTTATGCGTGATGACATAAGCGAAATTCAGTCCACATGTGACATGAAATACACCCAAAACATTACCATTCACTGTAGCGAGTCGCGACGACTGCTGACAATGGTATTAAAACAGCAAAAACACTGATATATATTTAGCGCCGCCTTTACTGTTTTACTTCCTGTGACGTTGGCACTGAAGTTAAATTTGCCCCGCCCGCCAATGTTAAGCTGGAAAGAACTCTGACTCATGTATGCGAATCGGTTCTTTTGAACAGACATTTTCAAAGAACCGATTACAAACGTGATACAATGGATTTATCTATTAAAGGAATAGTTCACTTAAAAATTAAAATACTGTCATTAATTACTCACCCTCATGACTACTTTCGTTCATCTTCAGAACACAAACGACGATCATTTTGATGAAATCTGAGAGCTTTCTGTCCCATACAGCTACACAACTACCATATTCAAAACGTCCATAAAAAATGTGTTGTATTTTTATTTTCCTTGAAACTGTCTTTATATACCACCTGGCAATTGTTGTAAAAAAAAAAAAAAAAAAAAAAAAAAAAAAAGATGCTAAAAAATGTTCAAATAAAGCTGTAGACAAATGATTTGATTATGTTGTATTATTAACATGTGACATTTTCATGTGTCCCAGTTTATGTTACAGTCATCATTACAATTATTTAAAAAAAAATAGCATTTACAATATGGGGATCTAGCACGAGAAGCACTCGGACTGATTCAATCCGATTCTTGAACGAATCTTGACTCAAAAGAATGATTCGTTGACGAATCGGACAGCACAGCATTACCGCTGAACACAACTTGAAAGTACTTTAGTTAGAAAATCGGCGTCGTAACTAATTTGTCTGTCAAATATATATATTTTTTTCATGACTTAAACCACACAAATGGGATTTATTTCGCCAAGCTTTGTACAGAGGACGTAATAAGATCATGCACTTTAAAACGCATGGTTTGAAAGCCCGTCCTTTGGATTGTTTATGTAGAGGTTTTACCTGTAAGAGTTGAGTGTGCAAGAGTGGCATGTGTTTGGAGACATGCCTCAAGCCTCAAGGACCAAGAAACCCGACGTGAAAGTCGTCATTCTGGGGGACATGAACGTAGGAAAGACTTCTCTCCTCCACAGATACACGGAGAGGAAATTTAAGGACACTATAAGCACCGTCGGAGGGGCGTTCTTCCTCAAACAGTGGGGACCCTACAACATATCCATATGGGACACTGCAGGTTGGCTCCTTCTACATTTTATTTAGTAAAACAGAGCCCAACATATTACACGTTATCACAGTGTGTTTCGCAAAAGCTGGATGTTGCCAACCAAGTCAGCTGAACTTTTAACTAAATACACAGTGTCAGATGATAGTTATTTCATCATATCTTGTTTTGTTAACGTTACTATCCCCCCGAGTTTCTGTTTTAATTTGTTGGCATTTGTTAAATCCTGATTTAAAAGCTCAGAAATGCTTTCTCATTTTGATGGTAGTGGCCTTTTTTCCCCGTAATGTCAGCACTTTTTGTTCCTCATTGAGATATGGCCCTGTCATGCGTGAAGTTCATACTTGACCTACTTCAAAATTCACAGGATTTTTTTTTTAAATAATATTTGGCCTATTTTATTTATATTCAGAATGTCATATGGAGACTGATTTTTTTTTTTTTTTTTTTTTTTTACTTCTGCATATTTCATCTGATTTTTATGTAAATGAGTAAATGCCCTAATGCCTTGGTCAATGTTTGAAAACTTCACCCATTAAAGGCACATTTTTAAACTCTCTTTTGTATAGTGTAAAATAATAACATTCTTAAGGTCTAAACAGATGACATAATGTATCATTGTACATGGAATCTATCTATCTATCTATCTATCTATCTATCTATCTATCTATCTATCTATCTATCTATCTATCTATCTATCTATCTATCTATCTATCTATCTATCTATCTATCTATCTATCTATCTATCTATCTATCTATCTATCTATCTATCTATCTATCTATCTATCTATCTATCTATCTATCTATCTATCTAACTAACTAATATAGAAATTAGCCATGTCATTTCCTGTGGAATTTTATTCTGTACAGATGACCCCGTGTACTGGTGTTTGGTCTCTTTATCTGACAAAAAGTCACATGCTTGTGGTGTGTGCTAGTCAGATGAGTGTGTGTGCGGAAACTAAAGGTTTTACTGGTCACTCAGTTGGACATTTCTCAGTTTTTCCTAAATGTGGGAGTGTAGTTCTATTTGTGTTTAATGGAAAACAATAACCTGGATTTCCAGGAATGTAAAGCATGCAGATAATCATTTAGCAAAATGACAGTTTGTCATATATTTTTATTCCTATTTAATTTTCATGTTCCAAGACTTTAACCCCGTGAAGCATATTGTATTATATTTGATACATTCAGTTCTAAGGCCTCTAAATTACCTGCATGATCATTTTTACAAAGTAAAAGCCCTTTTAGTATATATATATATATATATATATATATATATATATTTTTTTTTTTTTTTTTTTTTTGTCTGAGAAAAGTAATGTACAAGTATTCCATTTGAATTGTAGTCAAGTGTAGTGCACATTTCTTTAAATAAATTCTGATTGTCACTTTGTGCTGTGCAGGTCGAGAACAGTTCCATGGCCTGGGCTCCATGTACTGCCGTGGCGCGGCTGCAGTCATTCTCACCTATGACGTTACCAATTGGCAGAGCCTGGCAGAGCTGGAGAACCGCTTCCTGTCCCTGACCGACACCTCCAACACTGACTGCATATTCGCCATAGTGGGTAATAAAGCAGACCTTACGGATGCTCTAGCTCAAGGGACAGACACAGAGAGCGAGCGAGGGGACAAAGCACAGCCCGAGGTCACGTGTCCGACTCCTCCCGGCACTGCGCTCCAGCACAAACAGGTGAGCAAAGAGGACGCCGTCGCTCTTTACAACCGTGTGCTGCGCTACAGAGGCCTGGAGGAGAAGGCCTGTCTGCCTGCCGAGACCGTGTGCTTTGAGACAAGTGCTAAAACGGGTTACAATGTCGACGTTTTGTTTGAAACCCTCTTCGATCTGGTTCTGCCCTCCATTCTGAAGAAACGGAGCGAAGGAGAGAGTTCCACTGTGGACCTGGAGACGCCAATGGAGGTGAAAATGACTAAAGCAGGATGTTGTGCCTAGAGCCAGGCAAACATAGGAGGCGTGAGGATTGTGTTGTCAATCAGTGCCAAAGAAGGAATGGATATAAATCATATCACCACTAACTTAAACTAGAGTTTATTTGAACTAAGTGCTGATTTTTTTATTTTACTCCAGAACAGTATAAAAACAAAGTTTCTTGGGGGGAGGAATTAAAAGATAGAATAACTTGATCTTGCTGAATAGTCTTTTGTGAAATAGTTTTTACTTTCTTTTTTGATATTATATCTGCATTATATTTTGTAAAAATGAACATTTTCTGATACTGCCTGACTAATTCTAATATGAGACAAATAAAAATTCTTAAATATTGGAATTAATGGGTTAATGTGTGTGGTTAGTGTGAGAAAGCTTCACGAAGTACACTGTCATTCAAAATGCCTGTTAATATGCTGATTTGCTGCTCTAGAAACATTATAATCAATGTACAATCAACAGTTGTGCTGCTTAATATTGTTGTAGAAACCATGATGCATGTCTTTTGAATTCTTTGACAAATAGATAGTTCAAAAGAACAGCATATGTTTGAAATAGACAGAAAGTGGTCTTCAATTACTTTTATTTTAATTAACTGATGTGGGTCCTATATAAGGTGCTTTATAAATGAATGAATAAATACACTTCACACTTTCTAATAGGTAGATCTTGTTTAGAGATCATTAAAATGAGAGATGACACAAATGTAACAAACAAAATGCATTTATTGTTTTATTCAATAACACTATGATTCAAAATCAATGTCTTCAAATATTCCACATAATTACATTGAAAGTACAAAAAAAGAAAAAAAAAAAGCAGTGACATTCTCAATGCAAATATTTTGAATTATAATCTTAATTGGTTCTCTTTACTGGAATCACATATATTTTAGTGGTTTATGGGCTTAGGGGCAATACTACTTGTGCAATGTGCACTGAAAATGGGCAAAACTGCTCAAAGTCCAAACCTTTTAGGTGACCCACATTAGCCATTGTTTACAGACTCAATGCAGAATATAGCCTGTTTGTGCATGTATGTGGAAGTGGGACAACGATTGAACTACAGTCTCCTAATGACCTGAACACGTGTCATGTAAACCTCAGTGAAATCAGTGCAATTGGTGTAACCAACAGAGGGTTCAGACAAACAAACCAGAATGAGCCTCGTGACTGGACAAAATTCTAGTAAAAAGTTTCAATTCTCAAAGTTTATGACCTTTTTATGAAATAAAATACCCAATGAATAGTGTGACAACATTAGATGATAAAAAAACACATCCAAGAGTGATGATTCAAAGCTGTTCATTACATAAATAAACAAAGCAAAAATAATATACAGGCATCAGAAGATGATGTTAGTGTAAGTTTGGTAAAATTTATATTTATAGAGTGGTTAAAAATAGCAGATAGCACTGTGTTTAAGCGGCCTTGTGGTTAAGCATTGTGTCGTTGAGCCTTAATGATCATGTGTTATTAAATTATTCTGGTTCAGATTCTGAACCGATATCTAGACCTTTTCAGATTCCAACAGAACAAAACCATCTAAAAATGTTATACTGTATATAATTCAAATTGTATTTTCCAACCTTGCTATCTGTTGTTGAATTCAGATGTTCAAAAAGCCATTAAAGTCCCCCTGTAGTCAATAATTGTATCCCTTCAAACTAATCTTTGATCATAAAAATGACATATTTAAAGTTTTTTCCTTTGAAAAAAAAATCTTCATGCCTTAAAATAGTTTAAATGTAACTCTGTACCCTTGCCTCATTTAGTCATGGTTCTATGAATATGCAAATTATCCTCACCTCCTCTCACTCACACCAGCTCAGACATCTACTTGTTGATGATCACACGTTGTCGTGATTGGTTACAAGGTAGTTTGTGACGTCAGAAACACCAAACCGTGTTTTTGAGACTGTCTTTGGTTCACTGCAGTTTTAAGGAGAAAATACTCAGCAATGGTGTTGACTTGTAAATTTACACACGGTTTGTCTTAAAGCATATTAAAAAACACAGCATGGACATAACATTAAAAGCTTGATTTTCACCACAAGGGGACTTTAACTGAAATCACTGGGTTCCAGTTTTTTTAAAAGGCTGTGAAAGGGATGGCAGATGCTATTTACACTAATGCTACATTTTCGTTCAGACTCCAAATCCGATTTTTGTGCATATACGATTGGAATCCGATCATATTTAGCAAGTGTGAATGGCATAAAATCACATGAAATACGATTTTTACGAAATCAGAATCGTTTTTTTGTTTGTTTGTTCATCGCATACCACATGGGATCTGATCTTTTCGATTCTGATTTGGGCCACTTCCATGTGTTGTCCTAAAACAGATACAGATGTTTTGCAATGGGACCTCAGTCTAAAGTTATATCGTAAATCATGTGACTTTTACGAAACATTCGTCACAATTCTGCCCTGATGGAAGTCACTCTTTGGTTCGTTTAGTTCTTTGGAAGTATGCGAATAAAAGGAAAAACAATTCTAATTGGATTAATAAATCAGAATTGAGTACTAAAGCTTGCAGTGTGAATGTAGCCAAAGTGTAACAAAAAGTAGATTCTGTTTACACCAAATGTGAACCACAACAAATTGCAATAGATGCTTTTCACACTAAGTGCAAATAGAAGCCATATGTTATTTGTGCTAAGAATAAATAGCCTTTGCTAAAAATGTTGGCTATTTGCATTTAGTATATAAATAGACACTGCCTTTTAAAACAATGGAACCAGTTCTGAATAAGAACCATAAAGCACTACCACATAACACAAAAGGGCAGAGAAGTGCATAAGCATGAGCTTCTTTGGTTCAGCTGTATGTATTAATAACAAGAGATTCATAACGCTGAGGTAATAAGTTAGAAACTAAGCACCATTTCATACATAGAAAAGTAAATAATACAGAGAAATATCATAGCTATGCTTTCATGCATCTATTGCTTCACTTCTCATTATGCACATTGTACATATCTTCAGTCATAAGGCACACAGTAGTGATGAAGAGTGAATCTGACGGCATGTCATATGTAATGCATTAATAACATGAAGTAATTTCAAAAGCCTACCTTTTAACATTGACATCGGATTGCAATTTGGAATGAAGAATTCTGAATTGTCGGTGCAGGTGTTACTTGTAATGCTGCTGCAATAGTGTCAAAGTTCATAGGTTACAGGTCACAGGTTCTTCATACACACTTGGCAGCGGCTGATGCGTGACAGGAGCTGACCGGCTTTAAGTGTCTCGGAAACAGGGGAACTCTGGAAGGACTGATCGATAGAGGTCAACCAAAAACTCTGCTTGTTGGCGAAGTAGTGACATGTACCTTTGGCCCCGTTACACTCGATGAAGGGAGTGGTGCGGAAATCTTCGAGACAAGAGCCCGGGGACACCAGAGACTGACCGCCACCTTCATCTCCGGCTGCCGTGTGCTGTGTGAGTGTGACAGAACCAGTTAGAGGTATTGGCAAACACGTTTCAATGATGAAAGTGTAACAATTTTGAACTTAAGTCTCACCATAAGGAAGGAATAGCCAATCCAGAGACTTCTCCAGCCTGCTGGGCATTGTGGGATAGTTATATCTTGGCTGTGTATGGCGATGGCCACAGTTGGAGCTTCACACACGGAACAGCGGCTGATGTATGGTTTTATCTCGGCCTCCTCCACAGGCATCATGGGAATTGGTGCGGTGGTGGACAGCCAATAGGATTTGTCATTGCGGCTGGCATAGTAGCATACGTCTCCCGGATTGCAGTACAGGAAGGGCATGGTGTTAAAACGGGGGAGACACGAGCCGGCTAGACCTGGTAAACAAAACGGAGACCTGTGAGGCATTTTAAAGCTTGCAGAGAATCACAAAGTAGTTACTGATTAAAAAAAATAAAATAAAAAATAAATAAAAGAAGAAGAATAGAACAGAACTTTCCAGTTTTTTTTGTTTTGTTTTTTAAGTTTAGCGTAAAACTTCAAATAATCGCCAAGTCCCAAATAGACGCCTGTCTCTTTTACACGCCTGGTGTGGCTGCAGGTTTGGGTAAATAAAAGCCAGTCTCAAATAGAGGCCGGGTCTGTTTTTTAGTTTTGGGTTGTTTATCTTCTAAAACCATCAGATCGTCCACTTTTTAGCGGCTGCCAAAGCAAATTTGTCTTTTTTTTCAAAATCTTCAAACAACACGAGCGCTGTCTTGCTCTCTCTCCCTCGCGCATATTAATCAAATCAATTGAGACGAAAGTACAAGTTTGGAAGACCGCAGTTTCATGTGGAGCATTTGGACATTTTTAGAGATTATAGACTCAATGAACAACATCTCAATACCAAGTTATAAAGGCCGGTTTCATATACAAGCTGGTGCAGTTCGACGATTTGGGAAAATAAAAGCCTTGGCTACTATTTGAAGTTTTACGTGTCCTATCAAAAGCATTAGAACATGTTTAAACTAACCCTTACAATCCATCTCGCATTTGGCCAATTCATTTCGAATGAAATTAATTGTTACATGTTACATATGACTTTTTTCTAACTGTGCTACTAGTCCGGTTACAAACTAATATTAGGGTCCATGTAAATGCAGACACTATAGAAAATGCACTTTCAATTTCCTGAGCAAACACTACACAATGCTGTGTAATTCAACATTCATATTCTGGATCTAAAGTTGGACAAGTTATTACGTTGTCATCTGCACTCACCGAGGTCTTGGTTGTGGGCCTTCTCCTGTCCCTCAAAGTACAGAAGGCTATAACCATCCCATAACTTGGCCATGCCCACAGGGCACATGGGGATCTGTTCCGACTGACTGTGCTTCACCAGCAGGTAGCCAACATTGACACTGCGGCCAGCCATTCCAGTAGCACCAGGTAAACCAGAGCGTCCTCGGGACCCTGTGGATTCAGATTCAATTTATTGTTTTCATTGAATTATTTCTGTTTATCCAAAACCAATATTTTTTAAGCATGAATAAAATCTAGAAACTTTGTTTTAAACAATGACATTGTCCTAACTGAAGAAATTAAAGAATGTTACCAGTTCCCAAAACCACCCAACAAATAATAAACTCATAATCATTTAAAAATAAACCTGGACCTGTTGGTGACCAGTCGTCTGCAACCCTTAATCCACTAATCTAGCCCAGAATCCCATAATCCTCATCCGTCTACACAAACACACTATTGACCTTCTTCTCCTTGCAGACCAGGGTGGCCCATTTGTCCAGTGTCTCCACGGAAGCCTGGATTTCCTGGTATTCCAGGGAGACCTGGCATGCCCTTGTGCCCCTTTGGACCCAAAAACCCTGTAAAAAGAGTTTTGCTATTTACACAATGAACTGTGAACTGGAACGCAGCAACAGCACCACAGAATAGGTTTATATATCACATTCATGACTGCATTAGTTGAGGCTAAAATTGATGCTTTGAATTCTTGTACCTGGATCACCAGGAGGTCCAGCAGGGCCTGGATCTCCACTGCGTCCATTAGGTCCTTGAATACCCATTGGGCCAGGTGCTCCTATCTCCCCTGGAAGTTTCTTTGGAATTGGTGGAAGTCCTCTAGCACCAGGCAACCCAGGAAAACCTGAAATAACAAGGTAGAGAGAATGAATAAGGTGCAGTCAACTAGATTTGTATTTTGAACACTGCAACAAATGATTCTGATCCCATTTATGGTCTGAATAAACCAGTCATTTTACATTTTTAATATAGACCATTTCACAAGATGTAAACAACACTGGTCCAGAAGCACTTCCTGTTTCCGTTTGTAACTGTTTTCTTTATTTCACATGTAAAGAAAACATCTTAAAGATGTTTGTTTAACTTTTTGATTCAGTTTTTAATGTTCTGTTGGTTTTATTTTATCCCAGCTTTTATGTAGTGTTAAAAAACTGAAACAGGAAGTGCTTCTGGACCAGTGTTGTTTACATCTTGTGAAATGGTCTATACAATCTAGATCCAGCCAACACATTTAGATGTAATGTGGAAGTATATGTACATGGAAACACAGACTAATGTCTTAGAAACAAAAAAGCCTGTTGAATTGCACTAATAAAAAATGCATTGCATTAACAGTGCTTGCATTTTAATGCATGCATTTTTGGGGGCTGAAATGCAACATGGTTGTATATTTAAGCTGTGAATATTTCAAATGAAAACATTTCATTCACAATGTAATTATAAAAAAAAAAAAATCCACATTCACATTTTAGACTAAATTTCCAAAATGTTCAGTCTGTTTAAAAATACCAACTATAATATTCGACAGGCAATTTTCAGTCCATTTTATTTTGCCTTAAAAAAAATCACTTCAACAAATTCAGTGGGTCAAATTCAACAGAATATTCAACATGGCACATCCAGAAACTGCAGGAATAGCAGTCGATTACCGAAGTTGTTGGTCACCTAACAAGCAGGTGGTGCAAGTGGGTGATGCGGAAGACCAAAACTATAGTAAGTGAAAAACAGTATGTGACAAAAGAATTGTGTCCAAATTCACAGTAAAAGATTCAGCAAATAGACCTTATTCAGAGCAGCGCCATGACAGGTATGAAAGTGAGGCTGTGAGGGATAGACTTACCGTGTTTCTAATGGCATCAGCTGTAAAAAGCTGAATAAAGCTCCTAGATTACTTACAATTTTCCACAGCTTATACTGTCGGGAGTTTTTTGTCAACTAAAATTTCTTGGAAAGATATTTTTCCAGTGTTTCATGAGCAGAACAAAACGAAAACACATTAAATATCAGTACAGCCCATTGAAGAGATGCATGTCTATCCCTCACAGCCTCGCTTTCACTCCCATTAAAAATCAAAGATGGCGCTGCCGTGAATAAGGCGTATGGAACCCGGATGATCTACTTCTTCCAATGAGATTCTTAAGTGTGCATATGATGGACATTCTTCGAACACATGAGGCCACAGGAGAGGAAGTGAAGCGACACATATGAGGTAGATGTGATTATGTGGTAGGTCACATGATAATGACAACATGGTGAATGTTGTACGTCCATATTACATTCATACTATATATACTGTAGAACATACTTATTTGTTTACTTAACTTACTTATACTTAACTTTTTTGTTATTTTTGGACCAAAATGTATGTTCAATGCTTCAAAACATTCTGACTAACCAACTGATGTCACATGGACTACTTTGATGATGTCTTTATTTCCTTTCTGGACAAGGACAGTATACCGTACAGATATTTACAATGGAAGGACAGTAAACTCTCGGACTAAATCTAAAATATCTTAAACTGTGTTCCGAAGATGAACGCAGGTCTTACGGACTTGGAACGACATGAGGGTAAGTCAATATATATATATATATATATATATATATATATATATTGTTTTTCAAAAATATTAGTCATTATTTTACTTCTATATTTGTATAACCAAAATACTATAACCAAAATATGAAACGTATGATTGAACTGGTTGACTAGAAATAAACCATATAGTAGAGCTAATTCTGCATAATAAGTTTGGACAGTAAATTGAAACTATTTTATTATATTAAACAAAAAAATCATACAGACAAATCGTTTAGTGGTTTCAAACAATCACCTGGGGGTCCAGTATCTCCTTTAGGTCCAACAGGGCCCCTGTCACCTTCAAAACCACGTCTTCCTGGAAAGCCCATCATTCCTTGTTCTCCTTTATCACCTTTAAAAAGGAATAAAACATTCCTACCTGACTCAAGTTCTTTTTCAGTTCACAGGTCTCATTCCAAAACAAAGTGAGCAAAATATGTGAGTGTAAAACGGGTGTTTTGCTCAGCTCATCTAAAACATTTTAATATGATTTCCATTTAACATTTTAATTTGATACACATTTAACAATTTAATTCTCCATAGGATTCTCTTTTGTTCATGTTTATTTGCTCTTGTATAGATCATCATAATGAATATTAGATTGCTGTTTTGATTTTGCCAATGCTATGACCTTTACCATATTCATATTTCATAATCTACCTTTTCTTCCTGACACTCCAGGCTCCCCACGTGGTCCTTTCTCTCCACTGTCCCCCAGGACTCCTTTTTCTCCGGCGAATCCGAAATCCCCTGCATTTCCCTTATCTCCTTTTGCTCCGAATGGAGATGGTTCACCTGTAATCCCTCTAGGACCAGGAAAACCTGAAGAATGACAGCAACAGGTATCAAAACAAATTTTTTTTTTTTCAAAATTCATTTTCAAGAAAGATTTTAGATTAAGAAATAAGAAGAAATAAGTTATTTTTGTTTGACAAAGTGACGCTTTACATTTTCTTCACTTATTTAGATATTTAACCCTCCTTTGCTAAATAATATTGTAAATAAATAATTATTTGGTGTGAATTAGGGCAAAGGGGACTAAAGTCCCTTTAACTAGTAAATATCCTTATTCTTATACAGTCTATAGTACTCATTACTAGTGTTTATTGTAAATATATAGTAATGGGTCTGTCACCTGGAAGTCCTTTAGTGCCTGGAAGGCCATAGTCGCCTGCAACTCCTTTTATATCAGAGAATCCTTGTTCGCCTGGAGGACCTGTGACACCTGGACGCCCAGATTCACCCTTATCACCTATAAACACAGCAGTTACAGTGTTAGAACTAATGCATAGTTACATCAAATAAATGAAACGTCACAAAACGTCATTTTTGGAACAGGGGAGGTGCTAGAGGTGGGCCCTGAAAGTTGTGTTACCTTGTTTTTCTTATAAAGCTTAAAGGGTAACTAAACACCAAAACAACTTTTTTTAGTTAATGATCTGTAAGAATGGAGCTTCATAAATGCTGTTCATTGATTCAAATACATTTTTTGACAATTGAGTATAAAGTGTTTTGATTTTCAAATATATGGTGTAAAAACGTCTGAGTGCTGCCCTCTTCAGGTTAAACGGAAAGCTCCTGCAGTAGGGGTACTTGCTGACGTAGCGAACTCTCAGACGCACTCTGTCACACCCTTGGTGCGAGCTCACCACGCCCTTGGCAGCCCCTGGTATAAAAGCATCTGGTTCCGTCAAAACTACTGTAGCGAGTCAGGAGTTGGATTTATGAGTATTGAAAACGATCAGGATAGCATATAATAGCATCTAGTTAGCATAGCATTTATATAGTTATTTAGATTATTTTTGAAAACGACCAGGATAGAGTATTGTTGCATCTATTTAGCATAGCATTATATAGATAATTTAGATTATTTTGTGTAGCTAGTAGCATAGTACGGTTAGGATAGCTTCAAGTTAGCATAGATTTATCAGTGTTTAGTACAGTGATCAGGATAGTAACGGAATAGAGGTGGACATGGGCTTCTCCACACGCAGTGCCAAACACTGCTCGTCCTGCATGGACTCCTCCACCGCAGCGGCGTCTTGATGTGAGTGATCATGGATATTTTAATCACAATTTATGGTTAGGATAAAGTTAATCCTCTGGGGTCGACAAACGAGCCGGTACATTTTGCTGGATTTTTTCATATAGCGGCATAATATCAATATGAATATATGCCAGCGTGCGCTATTGAGATCAACTCGACGACATAACTCATCAGATGCCGGTCGCGATGCGGGAGTTAAGACCGCAGTTTGAGGCAGCAGCTCGAATGGATTTGGCCCTGTGTCTACATACAATTCACCCTCATCCACTTCAGGTGAAGGTGAAGGTGAGGGAGAAAAGTCCTCGACTTCAAATGGCCGCTCTATTGCAAAGGCAGCTACTTGTCACTCCAGTCTCGCTCTATTTTAGAGTCTGACAGCAGCTGTCACTCACGGCGGGTCTCAGGTGCACGCCCCCTAGCCCCGCTGGGGTCTGCCCATTTTTTCAGCATTTTTCAAATATTGCTAGTGGGTGGAGTCAGGCTCTGACCAGGGGTTTAGTTACCCTTTAAAGGATAGTTCACTTAATAAAAAAAAAAAAAAAAAAAAAAAAAAAAAAACTTTTGCTAATAATTTATTCACCCTCATGTCATCCAAGATGTCCATGTCTTTCTTTCTTCGGTCGAAAAGAAATTAAGGTTTTTGATGAAAACATTCCAGGATTTTTCTCCATAGAATGGACTTCAATGGGAACCAAACGGTTCAAGGTCCAAAAGACAGTTTCAGTGCAAACTGCAAACTGTTGAAAGGGCTTTAAACGATTCCAGACGATGAATAAGGGTCTTATCAAATGAAACGATTGCTCATTAAACAAAAAAATAACAAAGTTTAAGTTTCATAAGCTCAAATGCTCGCTTTGCTCTGTTCTGTGATGCCAGTTCATGACTCTCCTGTTCGAACTCGTTTGTCAAAATGAACGAATCTTTTTCCGAGTCAATTCATTCATTTCGTTCGTTGAATCAACTTAATCGATCGTTTTGCTTGATAAGACCCTTTTTCATCGTCTGGAATCGTTTAAAGCCCTTGGAACAGTTTGCAGTTTGCACTGAAACTGTCTTTTGGACCTTGAACCGTTTGGTGCCCAGTAAAGTGCATTATTTGGAGAAAAACCCTGGAATGTCTTCATCAAAAACCTTAATTTCTTTTCGACTGAAGTAAGAATGACGTGGATATCTTGGATGACATGGGGGTGAGTAAATTATCAGCAAAAGTTTTTTTTTTTTTTTTAAAGTGAACTACTCCTTTAACACTTAATCAGAAAAATAATCGTTAATACGATTACAGCTGACACGATTACCTTTTTATTAAAAAAAAAAAAAAATCATCTCCTTTGGCATCAAAGGTCACAACTTACAACATGTTTTTGCAGTGTTCAGCATTTTAGCCAATCACAGACATGTCTGTTGAACGCAACGGCCAATCAGAGGTTTTTCAATACGCTGTGCTGAAGATCTGATTTGCACAAGCTCGCTGAGTTCTACACTTTTGCGATCCTGTCATCATTATAGCCAATAAACCGTTCATGGAAATGATAGATTCACTGCAATGTATTTTTTATTATTGATGCTGATCTGTCACACTCCATTACACACTGCTTGGTTTGTTGACTAAACGTTCAGTGGTCTAACACAGTGCTCATCAATGCCAAAATGATTGTGATGGCCAATCAGATAAAAAAAGGCGGGGCTTAATTTCACAGAAGACAAGTGCAAATTCCAACACAATGGTTTAGTTTTAACAGTGAAAGAGTGCTAAAGCCCCACATTTCCAGAGACCATTGAACTGCCTCTGGTTCAGAAAATGATCTATTAGATGATTAAGCTACCTAGATCTCCAGTGGAACCCCTGAGGCCCAGATTTCCAGGGATGCCAGCCTCAGTGCTGGGGATCCCGATCTCTCCTCTTTCTCCTTTCGCTCCTGCATCACCTGGAGGACCCCAGTTGTCAGTGCCTTGCAGGGAACAAAATACACCAACGATATCATTAATTCTGCATTAAAACAATGAGACTTTACATAGGTAATATACATGGAAATATAAATAATAAAAAAATATAATGATAATAATTAATAATAATGATAACATTGCTAAACTGTAAATCATGTTATATAATTAATATTTATTCGATAATATAAGATTTATAATGTTTAAATTTCTAAGATAACAAATACAACTGAAGAGGTACCTGGAACACCCTCGATACCCTTTTGACCTTTCAGGCCATCTAATCCAAAAATGCCTTTTAGACCAGGAAACCCTAGAGGAAAAATTAGCCAGGAAATGTTGGAGCATATATTTAAATATATAGTGGTAGAAATGACAGAGATTATTAATACATGATTTCAGATACTGTAAATAATGTGATAATGATGATCATGGAAGTACAGGCCTTAAATATCTGAATGAGCAGACATTATATAGTGTTGCTATTGACAACAGTCCTTATGACCGATTTCAGAATGTTACGAACGACCAATTAGAATCAAGCATTCCAGAAAGCATATACAAATAAGGTGTATTAACATAGCTGTGTTTTTGTTTCATTAAATTTGACAATTAGAGCCACAAACCCTTTTGTCCCGGTTGGCCTTGGAATCCAGGGGTTCCTTTCTGCCCAGGCACTCCTGGCCAGCCCTTAAGACCTTGATTTCCTGGGAAACCCGGTTGGCCATCAGAGCCTGATGAAAAAGTGGATCCAGTTAAAAACTATTTTCGAAAACAACAGAATTGCTTAATAAAAGGAACATGATGAAAACTCTTATACCTGGTAGTCCAGATTGTCCTGGTTCACCCGGCTGGCCTTTCATCCCTTCAATGCCGTCAAAACCAGGACCTCCTCTATCTCCAGGTTCACCTGTGACTCCCTTCTCACCTAATATATGTAAATTGAAAACTCATCTAAGAAGTGGTTCACAGCACACTAAAAACCTTAGAGACGTCTATTTAATGTCTGTATTTACATCTGAAAGATGCATTTTTTAGAGTGTTTGCTCATCTGCAATACGTCTCCGGTCAGATTTAAATAGACATTTAGAAGATGCCTATATTTAGAATATATGTAAAACTGCTTTTTCCAAGATGTTTCTCAGATGTTTTCCAGATCTCCAGATCTCTAGCAGACATCTTAAAGACATACCTGTGCTATAATCATTATCACAGCTGCTCATCATTCAGTTTATCACCATCATGTATTTAAAGGGTTAGTTCACCCAAAAATGAAAATTCTGTCAGTTACTCACCCTCATGTTGTTCCAACCCCGCAAGACCTTCGTTCATCTTCAGAACACAAAATAAGATATTAAGATCGCTCCTGCATACTAGTCCATAGGCTTCTTGAGGGAATGACACTTGCTGGCATCGAAAATTCATCAAAGACATCGTTAAAATAGTCCAAGTGACTACAGTGGCTCAATTTTAACTTTATCAAATGACGAGAATACTTTTTGTGCACAAAAACAAACAAAAATAACGACTTTATTTCAACTACTCACTTCCTTCTCTATGGGCCTGTAGTCAGTTAACGTAGTGTGACTGCGTAGAGCTACGTCACACGTAGGCTCACTATTGGCCGACGCTGGTCATGTGTGTGATGCGTGTGACGTACAATAACAGAAGCTTACGCTATTAAACTAGTAACCTGACTCAAGGCAGTGGGAGAAATAAACGAATAGTTGAAATAAAGTCGTTATTTTTGTTGTTTTTGGGCACAAATAGTGTTCTCGTCATTTGATAAACTTAAGATTGAGCCCCTGTAGTCACTTGGACTATTTTAACGATGTCCTTAAATGACTTTTCTAGGCCAGCAAGTCATTCCCTCAAGAAGCCTATGGACTAATACAGGAGTGATCTTAATATCTTAAATATCTTAATTTGTGTTCCGAAGATGAACGAAGGTCTTACGGGGTTGGAACAACATAAGGGTGAGTAAACACTGACAGCATTTTCATTTTTGGGTGAACTAACCCTTTAAGTTCCTCCCTATGCACCCTCAGTTGTCGGGCGATGTTTGTTTTTGTGTTTGCTTTGTTGCATGCACACACTGTTACACCATCTGTTTGAGTTTTTTTTTTCTATTATTAAAAGGCGTTTCGTACAGGAACCTATTATTATCATCTTCTTCATCATTCTGTGATAATAATATTGTTTTATGCACAATATAATTATGGAAATTCCTAACCTGAATTTCCAGGCAGCCCAGTTTCGCCTCTCAGTCCTGTTGATCCTGGAATACTCATGGTAGGACCCAAGTCACCTTAAATAAAGGAATTGTATGTAAACTTTTTGGCAGTTTAGACAGTCATACATCAAGCATAAAATGGTTTATTTAGAAGCACCTTTTATTCCCTTAATTCCAGAATCTCCGGGCCGTCCATAGGCACCAGGCGAGCCTTTGTCACCCTGCAATATAAGCCACAATGACTAAAAGCACAACACCCAAAACATTCTAACAGGACCCCAAATACAAGGAGATTAACTAAAATGTTTTAAATCATAAATAGTTTTATGAGTCAGAGAGAGATGGGGCTCATTTTCCTACCCCAGGTCCAGGCATTCCCGGGAAACCTTGAATTCCAGACTGTCCTGTAGGCCCTGGCATTCCCTTAGGCCCTGATTGACCTTCTTCTCCGGGAACACCTTTAACACCTTTTGCATCACTGGGCTCACCTGGATGTCCATCTTTCCCATCGCCTCCTGGATAACCTGGCCCACCTTTTGTACCTATAGGCAAAGGCAAGTGGAAAGAAAATCTCTTAAGTATCCATCTGAAAGGGATATTTTTGTTCTATTCACATCATCAAACACCAAATGCAGATGTAAATTAATTCTGATTAAACATCATATTGAATTCGGGTCCGTTTTGACCTGAAAGATGTACAAAAACATTTCTAAAAAAATCCATAGTTTTTAGTATGAAAATGAAACATGACCGTTTTAAGATTTAGGAGAACTACTTGAACTAAATAGTTACACCTTTTGCATTCAAGTAAGTTGTGACACATAATTTACACATAATCTTTTTTTCTCCACCTATTAGATAAGCTGCTTTTCCTCCATATGGCCAAACTATTCTCATTACTTAAAGGAATAGTTCACTTAAAAAAAAAAAAAAAAAAAAAAAACCCTGATAATTTACCACCATGTCATCCAAAATGTCCATTTCTTTCTTTCTTCAGTCGAAAAGGAATTAAATGAAAACATTCCAGGATTGTTCTCCATACAATGCACTTTACTGGGCACCAAACGGTTCAAGGTCTAAAAGACAGTTTCAGTACAAACTGCAAACTGTGCAAAGGACTTTAAACGATTCCAGACAATGAATAAGGGTCTTATCAAGCGAAACGATTGTTAATTTAAAAAAATAAACTAACAAAGTTTAAGTTTTATAAGCTCATCATGATATCATCATGATATATTAAATACAGCGTATTGCACTGAATCTGTGCATTCTGTTTCTGGCATACTTGAACATGCAAGTTAACAAATAACGGCGAGCACTTGTTTAATCAATAGCGAAGATTAAAAAGCATTTGGTTAACAGAAAAGACATTGTTATTTTTTTTTCTTTGTACTGTATTGATCTTTCTGTCCACCTAAAATGCATTTTTGGTGATGAGGGAAAAAGAGGAAGGGATGAGATGGCTGGATGACAGGATTTTGAATGTATGAAATCCAATATATATATATATAAAGCTCTTATTTAGTTAATCTGGTTTTTCATTATTATCATTATATCTGGCTAGTAGAAGTTCTGAATGGCCGTTAACCTAAAGATTTTGTAGCCAAATTGGCTGGTGAGTGGAAAAGTTAATTTCAAACCCTGTATATGAAGTATGCTACCCATTGTGTCCTTGCATAGAATAAATAAATATGATTGTAGTCACCTTCAGGACCTATGATGCCAGGGTCTCCCATTTTTCCATGGTCACCTTTAATTCCCTTCATGTTGTCTAACATTTGTGGTATTTTCATGATTGGCTTTTCACCTGGAGGTCCCACCACCCCTCTGTCACCTTAAGAAAAAGTATATACCACATACTCAAGACATTATGCATATTTCATTTTCAATATAATCTTAAATAGTCCACCATACATACATATATGTATATATATATATGAAGAGTTCAGATGCAAAAGCCTCTAAATGCCATTTGAAATTTTCTTCTTTAATGATGATTTTTATCAAACTTGTATATTTAAGTTAAGTAATTTCACTTAAATGGCAAAGCTAATTACCTATTAATTGTTATTTAAGTGAAATTACTGCACTTAAATATACAAGTTTGATAAAAATCATCATTAAAGAAGAAAATTTCAAATGGCTTTTAGAGGCTTTTGCATCTGAACTCTTCATATATATATATATATATATATATATATACACACAATGAAACATACGCCATTAATAAAGATGTTATGTAATGAGAAATTTAAGCAAAAGTTCCTCCACAGTCAAAATACAGGTTGCGAATAATTTCAGTCTAACCTTTGGTTTGAGCAGCACATTTAAGCACAGATTGTTTAATCAGTCATTTTGCAAAGAGGTTGTTGTTGACAGATAGAACATTTAAACAAACATTATAAAAACATTTAGCCAAGAAATGGCCATGAAAAACGGAATTATAGAATTATTACATTTATAAGGGAAACTTGTAAGTGGGAAAAAAAGAAATAATAAATCAAACATATGAAATCAAACACAGTAGAATGTATATTACATATTTTGCAGAGGTGTAAAGAGTAATAAAGTATTCTACTCAAGTAAAAGTACTTTTATGATTTGTCACTTTGAAAGTGATTTTAATGTATGAAACAGTTTCTTACTGTTTTTCATATTTTTCTATTTAAGTGGTCAAATAAAATAAAATCAAAATCAAAAGTACTACTACTTCAATGATATTTTACTTAAGTACAAGTAAAATTACCGATCTAAAAATCTACTCAAGTAAAAGTAAAATTAGCTCATTTAAAATGTACTCAGAGTAAAAGTTACTGAGTTACTGGGGAATCTCCTGTGTAGGGTAGGGTTGTAATTGTATGAGATTTTCACAGTATGATAACATTTCTGAAAATATCACAGTTTACAGTATTAATCAATTATTAAATAAATAAACTGTATTATTAAACTATGGCTATTATTATTATTATTATTTAAAAAAATATATTATTATTATTTATTATTTTATTATTATTAAAAAAAAAAAAAACGCTCATTGGGCTCTCACGTCGAAATTTGAGGAAGTGGGGGAAATGGTGTATGTGTAAAGCAGTCGAATTTTGTAGTTCTTTTTGTGCTCGGGTTACTACCCGCTCCCCGAAGTTACATAGTGCCAGTATAAGTGATACAGACACTGTCAGGCTATGGCAGACCTGTCGATGTACCATCACAAGGGTTTTGGAAAAATATTATAAAGGTTGAAAAAACTACATAGTGCTGCTTTAAATCAATGCAGTAGTTTCTGAAATTTTCTTTTTTTTTCACCCTTGTATTATTATTTTTTACTCAGTAACAGATATGATTTCAAATGTAGCAAAGTAAAATACTTCAAACAAAACATACTTAAGTAAAAGTACAGATTTTAAAAACTACTTAAAAAAAGAAGTACACACACACACACACAAAAAAAAACTACTCAATTACGTAACGCGAGTAAATGTAATTCCTAACTTTCCACCTCTGATATTTTGCATACACATGCATACATTATCATGCTCTTGATTCACCTTTTTCTCCTGGAAGCCCAGTAAATCCTTTTGCACCTTGTTGTCCTTGAAAGCCTATCTGTCCTTTCTTTCCTGGGGGTCCTTTCAAACCTTTCTCACCTATGTTTCCAGGAAAACCTGATATGCCTTGACCACCTTTGTTACCTTTGTTGTTTATATATGAACAAAAAAAAATACATCAATCAATTAGTGCCATTTGGAGTTTAATGATCAAACTATTTATATCTGCTTTTTGGAAACTATACATATACATATTCTAAGTAACATTAAATCAAGAACAAAAAGACAAATTACCTTTTAACCCTGGAAGACCATTAAATCCAAAGGGCCCTGGTTGTCCTGGATCTCCTGGGACCCCAATATTTCCTGGTACCCCAACATTTCCAGGGTCTCCAATGACACCCTTTACTCCACCCACTCCATGAAGGCCTGGGTCTCCCTGGTCTCCCCTTATTCCACTTGGACCTACAGAGACACAGTATACTGTATTTAAGCATTGTTAGGAGAAAGATGATTTTCTTCATACCACTGAAATCAGATCTAAGGCATAATATACTACAAGTCAATTGGTTTGGACATACTTAACTGAATTTATGTTTCTGATCCTAAAGATCATTAGATTAAGAATCTCCTAAAGACTAATTACCTTGTTTGCATTATAGAGTTGGAGCAGAGAATAAAAGAAAATAAGTTAATAAGAGTCCAGTACACTGGCCACTGATTTCCCAGTCTGTTTCAACATACGGTACTGTTAAATGATAAAGACGCTTGTTTAACTGACCCTAACGTTAAAAAAAAAACAAACGAGGAGTGAGCTTTGGTAGATCCCCTGTTGTTGAAGTTATTTGGTAGTTCTGGGTTTATTCTTTACTTTTCTTATCTGGTATGAGGGCAACAAAAAAAAAAAAAAAAAGATGTTTTAGCTCCAGTCAGTTTAGTTACCTGGTTCTCCATTTTTTCCAGATGGTCCGGGAGGTCCTTTGTAACCGGGCTGCCCAGGAAAGCCAAATGTCCCTCGTGGTCCAGGTTTTCCTATCTCTCCTTGAAGACCCGGAGGACCATCTTCACCCTTGAGGCCGATCATACCTGGCATCCCCTCCATACCTGTGTGACAACACATCCTTTAGTGAGTGTCAATAACAACAGAACTGATCCACCTTAATCATAGAAAGAATTTCACTTTTGAGATTCTGAGGGCTGGAGACAGAGAAGTTTTATATGTGCCATAAAATATGCTGTTTTTTACAGATGCAGCCCTAGGAAGACACTAGAAAAGGAAAGTTTGTTTACCTGAAAGTTTAAAATGCTTATAAAAGTCCTGATGTCAGAAGACTATAAACCATCAGGATTATGGGTTTGACAGACACCTGGTCATGTTAATGTTGATCCAAACACAATTAGATTACTTTAAATACAGGTGTAAATGGGGTCTAAAACGTGTTGAGCTTGTCCACTTTTGACCACTTCCAGAGGTAGTCGAAAACGCAAAACAAATTTTTCCAACTTTCGCATGTTAATACCATATGTCGCAATGTTGTGCCAATAATTAAGGGATTATGATCGCTGTTAATATTCACATCATTTCCATTCGCTTCCTTTTGCCCTAGCTCGTAAGCATCATGGCTTCATTCATTCCTTTTTTTTGCGTTACAGTTTGCGCTCCTGCGAAAGTGATGTAGAGTGTGACAAAAACAGAAGGGTCTACTCTTGACTAAATCTGAACAAATAATTCTCACAGGAGACACATTTAAAATGCATGTTAAAAATAGCAGGCAGAAACCGTAATGCATATAGGCTGACCACTTATGATCGGTTCACTTAAAACTCATCTTATCAGGTGTAAACAGGGCAATAGATGCATGAAGTTCTCACCTGGGTATCCTTTTTGGCCCGGGTCTCCTGGAAGGCCAGTTTCACCCCTCTGTCCTGGCAGTCCTGGTTCTCCAGGAGCTCCAGTAGATGCTCCTAAAACTTCTCCATGTTCACCCTTTTTCCCTGAAGCACCATCCAAACCTGGTTTACCAAAGATGCCTGGAGCTCCGTCCACACCTTTGGAGCCAGGAAATCCTAAATCGCCCCGAATTCCCACAAAACCTATGTGGTCAAAATCAGATGATCAGAGCTAAAAAAAAAGACAGACCTAATAGACAGACAGGGATTAAAGTATACACAATGATTACATAAAATGTCCAATAACACACAGGCCACCCAATGCTTACCCCTTGGCCCAGGTGGGCCTCCTCTGCCTGGTTCACCTAGCTCTCCTTTGGCCCCGGGTCCTCCAGAAAGACCTGGCATGCCTTTTGCACCTGGTACTCCTAAAACATAAAAAGAGAGAAAATTATTATAATAATAGTTTTTTTTTCTTATTGTGGAAAATATTACAATAATACATCCACTTACCAGAAAATCCTGCCAACCCTGGGAGTCCAGGGTGCCCCGGCTTTCCAGGTGGCCCGGGATTTCCAAAACACTCCACTGTAATAAGATTAACATGTCAAACAATATATATATATGACATGTGATACAGATGACAACTGCAGTGCTCGCTTATAATAAACACAATGTTATTATCCATTGGTGTGGACAACAACAGTTAACATCATAGTTATTTTACAGTTATCTTTTTTAACATCTTGTTGTAATTTGATCCAGCTACCTTCGATATTCCATTGATCTTCTCTTGAGCTACAGTCTCCTGTAAGACACATGTAAGATAGACATGAATACAAAGACCAAGAAGAAGAGTATTACATACTGTACATTTGTTAAACTCACAAGAAAAAAAAAGAAAAGAAAAATATTCAAAACAAAAAGCAAAACAGAGAAATTACAAATTTCTTGTGCTCTTAAGGCATTGTCACACCTGTCTCGTTTGCTCGATCAGCACCCAAACATTGTTTATTTACTTTATAATAACTTTCATTGACAACTCTTTATTGTGATGCTCCTCCAACAGACATTTTACTGACAGAATGTGTTAAAAGGACCATCAAAATGAAATGTCAATTCGTATACTGTTAAACTTTCTGCTGAACATTTCGATCACTCATAGCTACCAAACAGCTTTATGTATTTCCACTTTTGTAAATCTAAAACAAAAAGTGCAATATATATGAACTGAAGTTTAATGATATTTGCAAGCATTTTAAAGCACATTAAATAATGATCTGTTAAGCAGACAGCCTACTAATAATTTAATAAGAGTTAGTTGACATCTAGTTGCATAGTCGCTAATAGTCAGCAGAATGTTTAAAAGGGGCCTCCAAAATAAAGTGTTACCAGAATAACTGGTTCCACTGTATATTAGGTGTCTAATAAAAATTGCAATATTAAACAACAAAATGAGCAATTATTTAAAATGACAACAATTAAAGTGAAAACAGAAAAGATAAAAATAAAAAATAAAACCTAATTCAAAATATGAACACAAACTACAATGCTACGTTCACATCGGATGCGAATAGAGCGTCAAATTCGCGTCTACCGCGTCTAGTTGATGCTTGACCACTTTGTGTTAATTCTCGTCAAGAGCGAAACTGACGCGCGTCAGTTTCTAAAGGAATATTTTACGCGCGTAACGCGTCTTTGCATTGACTTAACAATGAAATCATTCACGCCTGACGCGCTATTCATGTCCGGTGTGAACGTACCATAACAATACTGTATATTGATGATACACAAATAACACTGATACACACCTGGAGCACCAGGCAAACCTTTTACTCCTTCAAAACCAATTTGTCCATCATCTCCAGGAAGGCCCCTTACACCTTTAGTAGCTCCAAGAACTTGGCCAGGTTGTCCTGTTAGGCCTTTTGGACCCGGAAGACCTGGTCGACCTTGATATCCCTTCTCTCCAGGCTCACCAACAGGACCATCTCCCTGAAGGAAAAACAAGCATGCAGATGCATCTAAATTACATACTTTGGTTAAGACTGGCATCAGAGTTAAAGCCTTTTCCTGATCAATATCACAGAAGTCACAACAGAACACACGGTGCACATCAATACAGATTAGAGTTGTTTTGAACTCTAGAAGTGTTTTGAAATTGAAGACTCACAGGAGATCCTTTAAGACCTGGTTCACCATCTTGTCCACTAGGTCCAGGCCTTCCCTGCTCTCCTTGGAAACCACTAGCACCTGGGTCCCCTGGGTCACCAGGTAATCCTGCATTTCAAAAGTGCAGACAAAATATTACAATTTTCTCATCCTTGCTTTCAGGTGGAAACCGCTCTGTCCAAACCTCTACTTATTTTTTTAAACACTGTGTTGTCAAAGTTGATTTTGTGGCTTTATATATGATCAGACACTTACATGTGTCATTATTAGGGGTGTAACGAAATTCGAATTGAACCGAAGAATCCCAATACAGAAGCCAACATTCGAATCGCGATAATCTCATGTATTGTCGTTGCCATTGCTTAAAGCACGGTGCCATACTTCAAATATGCCTGAGCAACTTCTTCAGACAAGTAAATCTAGTGACAATCTCCTGCAGGTGTTATTTATAGAAATTATTAAGCTATCATTGTGTCACCTGACTTTGTCCCATGCCAATGGCTTGGGGTGTCCTACATGTGACTCAAACACCAGGTCACGCTGATAGCATTCCAATAGCGTCAAAACCATGACGCAGCATCTCGTTCTATCTTTTGGTCAAAATCTCATGTTTTAATAGGTTGTGCTCTGCACAGGCTATTTAAGACATCATTAGCTATGACTTGATGACAAATGCTAGATTAAGACAATATACTTTTATATATTGTGTTTCTTGAGTAAAGAAAATGGTGTACTTATTTAAAGAACCAGTTCATTATTTACCCTTGTATTGCAAAAAAGCAGAGACAGTCTAAACATGTGCAAAACTTCATTCAAGATTGATCCGGGGTGGAGGTATGAGGTTCTTCGACAGTTTTAGGAGCCATTGGAGTTACAACAGGTTTAGTCAAAAGCTCTTTTTCTTTGGTTTAATGCTTGCAAAACCCACAGACAGATGTAAGGGGTGACCAATAGTAATGATAATGAAACAAATAAATAAAAAAGTGATGAAATACAGAGATATGGAGGTTCCTACCCGAAAGAGACTATTTACTTTTCTGTTTGTTTCCTAAACATTTAACAGATGACTATTGCACCTTTCTGTGTAGCTGCTCTCATCTCTCCTTTTCTGCCTTTGGGTCCAGATAATCCTCTAACACCAGGAAAACCCTGTAAATCAGAAACACTGCAAGTTAAATGGATTGAATTGGCTAATGTAAAGATTTCATATTCCTTGTGACCTTAACAAGGCATGAAATCATGGCATGGTGTATATCTACTTACAAATACACCATCGACACCTTTGGGTCCTGCATCTCCTTGATCACCCGGCTGACCCCACTCCCCGTCCATTCCAGGGTCCCCAGCATCACCAGGAGGGCCCATAAGGCCAGGCTGGGATGTTACACTGCATTCACACGGACCATGGTCACCTGATCAAATGATACCAATTTAGCAGGATTAGCAAGTGACAATCAAACACCTTCTATGTTCATAGAGAAGATGGAATAATTTATGTTCCTGCTCTAAAATAAATAATTAAAAAAAACATTCCCACAATGCCAGGTACAACATGACATGATCTTGGGCATGCAAATAACCTTAGAAGTTTATTAAAAACTTAAAGCAACTTTGTTTCCACTTATCTTACCCTTTGGTCCTTTTTTTCCTGCATTCCCTGGACGTCCACGTTGTCCGGGTGGGCCTCTGAAGAAGTCTTCCACTGTATAAAGACATATTAATAGTTTTTAATAAAGCCTTTAGTACTAATTCAGTTTAATGTCACTTTAAGATAAATCACTTCCATCAGAGTCATTTTGGCCATCATGGTCAATAATCCTGGCCTATTTTTGAAGCAATAGTCATACAAGTGGGCAGAGACCTATTATATTTAATAATTGCACCACACACACACTATATACAGTACTGTTCAAAAGAACAGTCAGATAAGGTTAGTAAGATTTTCTTGAGCAGCAAATCATCATATTAGAATGATTTCTGAAGGATCATGTGAATTTTGTTGAAATTTCAGCTTTGCCATCAAAGGAATAAATTATAAATATTTTTTGGGCCTTGGTGAGACTTTCTTAAAAACATTAAAAAAATCTTCATCCAAACCAAACACTTTTGAATGGTAGTGTGTATACAAAAATTACTTGCTTTATTAGCATCACACTTATCACACTTACATGACCCCTTGGGTCCAGGTGGTCCCCGAAATCCAGGCAGCCCTTCGGAACCAGGCGGCCCAGGCTGAGTGGCAGGATTACCAGGTTCTCCAGCTTCACCTTTGCCTCCCTTTGGTCCCTGTGGTCCCTGTGGACCCCACAGATCCACTGTGGATCAGAGAAACCATCATATCAGAGGCAGAGTTTGGTTAAAGTAACGTTTAAAGCCGCGTTTCCAACTAAATTACCCAGAACAATTTGTCCTAGGAACTTTTCCCCCTCAGACCTATTGCTATCTGCATTTCCATCACTGTGAAAATAAATGCAATTTTAGTCTGGTGATGTAGGACTAAGTGTGACTATATAAGCTTAATAAAGCCTGAACCTTGTCGTCTGCCCATGTGTCATTTTCGTTTAACTCCATTGTTGATTAGAAAAGCAAACAACTCTTACTGCAGGTATCGCAACAGACTTTTAAAAATGGCCATGCTTTCCAGGACCGCCAACAGGACGGCACCTTTCACTGCAGCTAAGGGTTACATGTGCGTCCCACCAGCTATGCAACTGTGCCCTAAGTCGTGCCTGTAAGTACTCGTTGGAATTAACGAGGCAAGGCTTACAAAGCCTGTGGGGAAGACGCCTCTGCAATACACGCTGTACATACAGGCTGAGGTGCAATCGCACCTTCTCGTTGTGTGCCTGCGCTGTGTGGCAGAGCAGCTGTTGCGGGTGATTGCACGCCAGTGTGCATTGGCTTGTTTGGTTTCGCTCTACATGGATTGGCCTCTTTTCGCCGGTCATGACGTTATTCTTCGCTCTCTCCTTCAGGGAACGAGGGTTAACATTTGTAACCGAGACGTTACTGCAGGGTTGCCAACTCTCGCGCATCTGCCGTGACACTCACGCATTCAGCCTCAATCTCACGGTCTCACGCTCAACATAGAAATCTCACGCTAAATTAGACATTCTTCTGGGCTCTATTTTTTTGTATTACTATAAGCAAGTTCAGGCTCTTAACTACTGATTGGACGCAGAGAAAAATCGCGGAAAAAGATGACACTGACACCGACAGACTACAGAGAAGTTTACTCCTGATATGGAGCGTTTTGGCACTTTTAAATGTGACAGAACGCAGTAGCGCGTCAGTTCAAACGGCACGTGATACAGTTGCCTAGGCTACAACACCCACAGGGCATGAGCAAAATACTGTATCTGGTAATCTCCCGCTTTATATTAACAAACTGTCAACACGGGCTTTTGCGATGCACAGAGAGACGCTGCGCTGCCTATGACCTTGAACGTGAGTTGAGAGCGTACATTTGCACTACGTGCCTGTCTTTTTAACAAAAAAGATATCTTTCACTAAATATCTACAGTGGCGTAGGGCGAGGGCGTGAGGTGCTGATAGCAAACTTTGACGCGTTCGACCCGAGTTCGAATCCGGCTTTTGCCTTTTACTCTCTCTTCTCATCTGGTGTTTTCTCCCAAAATAAAAGCTCAAGGGTTTATTTCTTGCAAGTGAAGAAATTAGGACAAAACTATTGTAATTTTCCTATACAATAGTGTAAGTAAAATATACTTTAGAAATATTCATTTTCATTTATACAGCAGCCTACATTTATAGGCCTATATGGATTTTACGTAATAGGAATAATTATATAAATCATTATTACATTATTATAATAATCGTTTGGCATCCTAAAAGAGACTGAGACTTTATATCATAAAGTCTTTATATCATAGACTTTATATCATAACTAAAAAGATGTTTGATCCCTCTTTAATGTCCAGGTACAAGTCGAGGCTTTTGCTTTGTTGAATGTCACAGTTCATGATTTGAAGCCGGTTAAAACTCTGAGCTCTTAAAATTTTGAGCTCTCAAAGTGCACCAGATTGATGCATTTAAGCTTAAAATGTACAAAATTTTCTTCAGGGGGAGCATGCCCCCGAACCCCCCTAGAAGGACAGAGGTCTCAATATAGTTTTACTAAATCATATAGGAAAGAACAATAAATTATCAACTTTACTCCTAAAACTGTTTTTTAATCAGTAAAACTGTTAGCCTAATGCCAAATTAAAATTGGACAAACTATCCACAAGTTTCCGAGGGGCGCTCCTGTAAAAAATAAAGTGGGTGAAACTTCCGGTGACGCGGCGGAAGTAGCATTCCAATGGTATTTTGTGTGTTAGTTAGCGAAGAGGCTAGCTGTTTTTCTGAGAATTATTTTACTATTTAAAGACGCAAATCTTTATGGGAGATGTCGTTACGAAGCTCAGGGAGAACATGTGCTGTTCGCGGTTGTATGTATAGCTGGACTAAACTAATTTAGTGGCTTAAACAGGATTGTTTTGAACATAAGCTGAAAACGAAATCAGAGTGATCCTGCCAACGACTGTAGTTTCCATCACCTCCCAAAAGACGACGAATCTTCCTGTGTACATTTGTTTAAATTCTTAATGTTCTATAAACTCTATCAGCATATGTTTGGCTATTCTCTACTGATGTTACACCTAAACTCAGGATCAAAGCCTGTGTTGACAGAATACCAAATGTGCCAGTTAATGTATTCAAGCAGCACATTCATTTATAATTTTGAATAAACTCCAAAGCACAATGACTAAGTGTGTATTTTTTATTTTAATTGTTTGTCAGCTCGCACAACTGTCTGTCACCATGCCTTGATGAGTATTGATTATTAATAATGTTAGTATAATACTCCCAATCAACTACTGCAGAGGGTAAAGGTACTGTTATTTCACCCTTTTGAATTTTGTTGAGGTTGTGTTCCCACATCGTTAGCTAGTTTGGATCGCTATAACTTGAATGACTGTCAACTGTTGAATGAACGAGTGTCAAGCATGTCAAGTAGCGTTTTGTTTACTTCCAACCGGAAGTCGCGCCCACTTTTGACGCAAGGCCTCATGGGGCGTAGGAAACTTGTGGATACATTGTGCCCTACAAGATCTTGTGATCTACCCCCCCCCCCCCCCCCCCAAAAAAAAAAAATCTCACTCCAAGCAAAATTTAAAAGTTATGTTACTGTGACAACAGGTTTACAAACTTACAAGACTTTGCAAGGTCCATGAGGGCGAATAAATAATGGCAGAACTTCCATTTTAGATTGAGCTATCAGTGTTTAACTGTCAGACAAGGCTCAGTCATGAAATACCTGTTTGTTGTTCAGGGGGAGGGGGTCCTGGGGGACCTGGCTGTCCTTTAACACCCTTAGAACCATACTTTCCAATTAGGCCACGCTCCCCTGGAGATCCTGGAGGACCCACTGTATTAACAAGAAAAACAGACAGAAGCAAATAAAGAAAAATATTAAGAATGTAGTGAAACAATGTATTTTAGAGGTTTGACTATATAGGACTACTCAAATACCCTACATTTAAGGGACTCTATTATGTCCTTTTTAAGTCTTGATTTTGTTTTCTACTTTTGTTTCTTTTGTTTTAAGTCTACTAGAGTAGATTTTCATGATTGAATGTTCAAAAAATATTACTTTTCAGATCAATTATATTATTGCAGCACCTCTCTTCCCAGTCTGTCAGTTACACTCCGTTTAGTTTCAGTCTCTATGAAGCCCCACCTTCCGAAAAGAGAACTGTGGTTTGATTCAGCTGGACCGGTGTTGTGACTGGTCAACCGATTCGAGCGTGTGTTGGAAATGTCATGCTCCTCACCATAACCATGAGTTTCAACACACTAGGGGAAAACCATGGCGAAAGTAATACGGGACGAAAGCAACAAAACAATTTTCTCTGAGACCTGACTACATTTGCATTTCAAGATATGACAGCACTTTCGGCATGCAGCCAGTGACCAAGCCTCTAAATATCACGTGATTTCATCATTGTTTCACGCGGTTAGGTCCGGAAAGCAGTTTTCCAGTATAAGTAAATTACTGAAGCGGTACTTTTTTTTAATTACAAGTTGTGTTTTTCGTTTCATGTGTCACACAGTAATGATCAATCTATAGATTATTTAGTGCTGGAACACTAAATAATAAAACACCTAAACACCTGAACCTAACACCTGAAATTTGCCTGGTCAGAGTTTTTCAGTAAATCAGGTTTAAATGTCAGGAGTTCCTCTTGGGACGAAAGTAAAATTTGTTACTTTTGTTCCGCTATAGGGAAAACAAGTGTTTCTTTTGTCCCCCTGCTAATGTGGTGACTTTTTGTGTGTTGCAGCGTTTATTAAAACACGTTTATGTCATATTATACCAACAGAATATGGCACAAATTTGTGAGGGGGCTTTTAAAGCTTAAGTCACATTTAAATCAGCTGATTTCTGTGTCACCATTTTTTTTTCCACTCAATCTGTTTCCATTTACTCTAGTCACATTTAAGTTTTAGCCATACCTTATAGCTTTAACACCTATGAATTTGCAGGATTTCTATCCAGATTTTTTTTAAATTCACGTTTTAAATGTATGCATAAACACAGCTGAATGGAAACATGACTATTGTTACATTATGTTAAGTATTTATACAATGCTAATTTAATTTAATTTTCATATTTTTCATGTTGGAAAAAAAACATTTTATAAAATGGATTGACAATAAAAAATATTCTAAATAATTCAAGTATGTACTGTTGGGTTACTTTTGAAACATTTGATGAAACTGAAATTTAAAATAAAAAAATGTAAACTAACTTTTTTTTTGCAAAGATAAAGGCTAAAATATGTTTGCAGTTACATGGTCATACTCTGGTATATTTAGGCTAAAAAACAACAACAACAACAAGAGTAACACAAAAAATCTAGCTTGTATATTGTTGTATTACTTTTGACCCACCTGTGTGTTACTTTTGTCCCAACTGAAGGGGTCGAAAGTAACATGAGCAGTCTTAGGTTCAAAGTGAAATTATACTGAAGTTGTTCTACATTTTTACAAAAATACCACCTGGTATTGATGACTGAACAGAGCAAAATATATCTCTGTCTAAACCATCATCTTTTAAAATTATGTTTTTCTGAAATATGGTACTTTCGCCCCTGCTCTCCCCCTACTAACACAACTCAACCAGGCCTCGACACTTTTTTTGCATATGTCTCGGGCAGAACTTATCTAAATGAGGGATATTGTGATGTTCCCGGAAGAAACCTCAAGACTAAAATCGAGGCACTTCAGAGAGATCAGAAACAGTGTTGATAGAGAATAACTGATACCTCGCCACTATTGCCTTTGGCTTGCTCAGTTGGGGATATTCAAATGAATTAACTAATCATTAATACCACTGATCAGCTCTCCCAAACATGGATGTTCTTCCACTAAGAAACGAACATTGTTATCATGTTTTGATTAATACTGTGAAGCTGCTTTGATGCAATTTATATTGTGAAAAGTGCTATGTAAATATACTTGACTTGACTTCACTTGACAGAATAAGATCACATATATATGAAGATCAAGATCATAATATAGAGAATATCTCCTTTTGGATTGACATTGTGCTTTGAAACTTTGCAGACGTTTTCATTATCAAACAGCAATTATACACACTAAAGAAAGTTGAAAATGTTAAAAAGCATAACAGGACCCCTTTGAACAGCAATCAGTGCATTATTTTTAGTACCTCCATTATTTTCTTTTGAACCTCCTATCAGCTCTCCGGGTTCTCCTATGTCTCCCTGTTGGATGATATGAATTTATGTCACACAACTTATGATGTAGATTGGTATGGTATGACAAGATGTAGGACTGAACCAGAAATAAATGTATTACCTTGCGGCCAGAATTTCCTGGGAAACCTGGTAGTCCAGTGTCACCCTACAGGAATGGAGAGAGACTTGAAAGGTTTAATTAAACACAAATGCTTTGCACTGATGGGAAATTGATAAAAAAATGTATTAAAATGTCATACCCTTGGTCCAGGCCAGCCATTTAATCCTGGGTTTCCCTATAATTAATAGTAATTGGTTACATATATATATATATATATATATATATATATATATATATATATTGCACATTTTGATAGAATTTGCATAGTGTTAATAAAGAGATTTCAGCACTTAAACAATCATACCCGTTGTCCCGGAAACCCTGACACACCAGTCTCTCCTTTTGTAGCTGCATATCCCTGAAAGAATAATAATAATAATAAAAGATTATCATTAAGATTCGCCAAGTCTCTTTTGGTTCATTCAGTGGTTAGTTACATTGACAGCTATTTTAAGTCACATATTGCTCTTATCTGTTTGAATGAGGAAAGATCATCTGTAAAACTCAAGGTTGCATTTCAATAACATATTTCAAATGACCGATACAATCAATCTGATACAGCTACTCTAAACGTAAATCAAAAAGAACCTTTTAACTGAAAGATGGGGCTTTTATTCCAACAACCACCAAATTAAGAATTTGAATTTCTCCACTTTTTTCTATAAGTGGTATGTCTTCATCTATTGTTTCTGGCTATTCCACAAATATAACATGAACATCCTTGTTAAAGGAATGGAAAATGTGTGTGCAAAAAATCTCAAATGTAACCTACCACCTCCCCTGGTTCACCATTATAACCCTTCTGCCCCTTTTCACCCTGTTAAGAAGAACAGAAGATGAAAATTACAGTAGCAAGATAGTTTTCTCCCCCCGAGAGAAAATATTTGTAATAAACTCAAATCATGTTCTTCCTGCCTGGAATTCTGTAATGTTTGGGCCTGACAGCGAGTAAGGTCCTTGTGGGCCTGGCACTCCAATGTCCCCCTGAGGTGAGTATACGAAATTCAGATGGGTTAACAGTGCAGATTAAACACAATAATATTAGTCTAACACTGTGATATATGACACTAATATGTGTCTTACCGGTTCTCCTTTGAATCCTTTTAATAGTTTACTGCTTTCACCCTGTATAGAGGCGACACAGGTACATTAACATAGATGTTCATTTACCAAAGTGATTGTAAATGATTGTTGGATGCCATAAAAATGTATATCTGTTTGAATGTGGTTTTTATATTAAGCAAACTTAAAATTAAGCAAAATATTGTGTTTTATTACCTTTTGTCCTTTAGCACCTTTACTACCAGAGGGACCCTGAAGAAAGATCATACAATAAGAAGAAGAGATAGTAGGTTTGAAGTAAAACAAGAAGTATAATTGTATGGCAGATGCTATGTGCAAATAGTGATAGATGCAATTTAAACTAAGTGAAAATAGCAGTACTCTCTTTGCACCAAGTGTATTCGCAATAAACGTAAATAGTTTTGGATATTGTACAAATAGTGGCAGATACTTTTTGCACCCCAGTCTATTGTAGTATATTATAAAACAGTTTGCAATAATAACAACATTTTTAGTGTATATGATTATTTTCACTAACATCATTCTGACTTATTGAGGCATCCCTTGTCCCTACCCCTTAAATTTACTCATAATCCTACCATATTGAACCTGCTGATCAGCAAAGGTATCCTTGAAATTCCACGAACTGAGTGTGGTAATATGAGCGGCACATTTCACACAGGGACATCACATTCAATTACAATTATAGACCAATTAAATACCCATTAAACACTTTATTCTCACTATTAAATACCCGTTAGGCACTTTTCCTCACTTTTCGAATATCATTTTGATTATTATTTTTTTTTTCCGCTGAATTGTGATAAGAAAAAGGAGAAGAATTAGTTCAGAAAAAACAGGCTTCAACTTGGGTCAGTGGTGACAAAAGCTACTTCCACGCCACCATTCGTGTAATCAAATAGCTTCCTTTTTCTCTTGTTTAATCAGACAATGTGATACAAACAATACAACAAATTAAAAATCAGTATTTGTTTTGTATGGCTAACTCACCCAAGGTCCTTGATAACCTTGCAGTCCACTGTACCCTGGGTTACCAGTTGGTCCCTGTAAGAGTGAAATTAGATGTGAAGAACACATCGATCCCTTCATCTTTTCATCCCCGATAGCTCAGTTTCTGATATAACAAGATGAATAATGAAACTTACAACAAATCCTGGAGGACCTGGTGGCCCTGGATCTCCCTGTAATACAACAGAAAAATGAACAAAGTGACAGTTTTTGTTTTGTTTTGTTACTTTAACCAAATGCATTGATGTAAACTGCATTTAAACTAGTAAAGGTCCTCTTACTGTCAGGGTTCTGCCCTGGCATCTTTGTTCGTGTTGTCTTTGTTTCATGCCTCTATGTTTATGTTGTGCTTGAACAAATGGTTTTGTTTGTGTTGTGTTGGCCATGTGCTCCTCGGTTCCTGCCTCCTTGTTTATATGTACCATGCCATCTTGTCTAGTTGAGTCCTCGTTTGTCTAAGTGTTGTCATCTGTTCCTCATGTTCCCTGCTCCCTTGTTTGAGTCATCATTTACCTGAGTGTGTTTACCTGTTTCTTGTCTGTGTGCTCACTCAGGCTCACCTGTGTTGCCAGTGCGTTAGATATTGTGCTACTGTGTACTTCTGTGCTAGTTTGTTTCTTGTTACTAAAGTCTGTAATTTTTTTAATTGTAGAAGTTTTTTTATTGCTTTAGTTCTGCCATCAGTCCTGTCTGTCTTGTCTCCTGTGTCTCTACTTCCAGTCCTATCCTGCTAGCAGAGCGTCCCTGGCTGCTCACATTCTTTGCTTTGGAGCAAGCCTGGTGCTGAGCCTGAGGTCCCTGAGTGCCTTGCTGTTGTACTTGAAGTACCTGTCTGGCTATTGCTAATATTCTCAGATCTCATTATGCTCTGCTACTCTCCAACTTAGTCATCTTGTATACTGCTGCTTGGCTAGTTACAACGGCTGTCAGTGTGTCTCATCCCTGCCTATTGTCTGGACTGTTAACCTCTCCCAACTCTGTTTGTCAATAAACCTGTTAACACTCGTTCTGCATTTGAGTCCTCCTTCATAGACCCGTGACACTTACCTTGAATCTTTCCATATAGACCCACAGCTCCAAAGGGTCTCCCTTCTCCCCCTTGTTTCCTGGCTGACCCTATATAGAAGGTAAAAGTTATAGATAGGCAAGTACACAGAGTACACAGAGAAAGTAATTGAAAGAGAGTGTGAGAGAAAATAATAGGTTAGATGGGTCATGAGTGAGTAATGAATAGATTCTGTCTCAATAATTTACTCTGTGACACAAATAAATTCATTCAAAACATTCATACTGTTATTCCACGTCCACCATCAAATCCTGGAAGACCCGGAGTTCCTGAATCTCCCCGGGTTCCGTTACAACCATCAGCTCCTGGTTTTCCACGAGGCCCAGACGGACCAGGGTGGCCCTGATGAGATATTACCAATGACCCAGAATTGGTGAATCCAAAACTCACAATAAAAACTGCATTTAGAAGTCTAAGGCAAAATATTTATGATATTTGAACTATATTACTAAGAAGATTTGTTTATTGATTAGTTTTAATAAATGGAACTATTTATTGAACATTGGTGTCTTTTGTAAAATTGCTATAAATGCTTCACGTCACACATTGTTGATATAAACAAAATACTTACCGGAACACCATCTGCTCCATCAAACCCTGGAACCCCCACCATTCCCTAAAGGAAGACACAAAGACAGTGGATTCGAACCCAGGTCTCTCACACCAAAGGCATGTGTCTTATCCACTGCGCCTGTGCAGATTTTACTCATCTCAAACAAGCCTAGTATCAGATTCACATTCTGAATAGAATATGAGTATGACGAAGTTAGGCAAGGGGAACAGCTGAGTGCAATGAATGAGCATAGATAAGAATTGTGGGGAATGCAGTTGCAAAGGACCTCTAGTGGACACCAGGGAACTGACAGAACTAAGCATTTAAATGAAACTTTAAACAGTACATGAAACAAAACAGTCAAACATTACCGAATGAAATGTCGACCCAGGAAGAGGTACAGGACTGCACAAGCATTGCAGTGAAAATGAACACTATCTACTACATCAGTGTTTTGATCAAAATCCAATACTGACTTAGTCTTTGACCAAAACATGATTTTCTCAGTTGCTTTTTTTTTTTAATGAAACGTACCCACTTGCAATAGTTGATGATAATGATAATTTTTTTTTTTTTTTTTAAAGGCTGGTGCTGGCTGGCAATGCTGGGGAAAGCATTCATGTGAATTGTTTTAGTAACTCTTGAAAGTATTAATTTCTTAAGTTGATGTAGCCTACATTCACAAGAGCCTGCGACCACTAGACTGAATGTAAGCATTGCAATTGCCACAAGCTGAAATGAAACGATAGTACATGGATGTCGGAGATAGTAAAAACGCAGCTTAAACTTTAAACCTATTGTATTTTAAAAAGCATTTTACTATTTCCTTTCATAACAGCAGAAATAGAGAGCAGGACAGAGGGATTCGGGACTCACCACACTTCCTTTTGGGCCCATAATGCCTCCTTTGCCATGGTCTCCTTTCTCTCCTTTAGAGCCCTGGAGACCCGTGTCACCTTGTCGTCCATTAGGGCCTGTGGGGCCCTGGGGACCAAGGGCTCCAGGCAATCCCTGTAGTTCACATACAGAGGTAACACAATTAATTTAAATCACATATAGAAGAGGTACATTTACAGTTATGCATTTGTACAGTAAGTTGTATCATAAAAGCAAAACATTATATATATATATATATATATATATATATATATATATATATATATATATATGCACACAGTAATGTGTGTTAATCTAGTTAATTTAGAACACAACCCAGATATCTTTTACATTTCAAAACATGCCCACCAGATGGCAAACTATACTTTGTATGTATTAAAATATGACTTTTTTTTTTTTACAACACATTGTAAAGCTCTATAGCACCATCCAGAGCTTCCAACACCACACTGCATAAATGAGTGTTTGATAAATTGAGTAGGCCTACATATGTTGAGTCTTTAGTTTAAATGTGTTGTTCCTTAACTTGATCTGAATACATTCAGGAGCTGAAACATGTATTAGTCAAACTGTAAAACTATTATATAAGTTATGTGATTTGTAGTCTGCCCTATTATCTATAGATCTGTCTGCTTCAAATCTAAAAGCACTGAATGCAATTAATGTTGATCAAACAATATTTTTCAGTGCAGTTTTTTTTTTTGTTAAATGGAAAATGGCATTGAAACAAGATTGTGCTTGTGTTCATGTCTAGAGATTTGTGTGGGTAAGAACTTAGTGTACAAACTATGTTCTACTCTGATGGGATAGATTGATAAACAGACGCCCTGCAGTCTCATGCACACTTAAACCCCCAGCCCTGCCCGTAATCCACAGTCAGCCAACTGATCTGAGACCCTGTTAAGAATGTAAGACTTCGTCTGATCAAAGACAATGCTATGTACTTGATGTCATTCACACAAAGAGCATTAAACAGAGCATTAAAAAAAAAACACACTTCAGATTAGTAGTGTCATCTGGGTAGGGTGCTGATTATTTGAGAAAGAGACTTGATGAAGTCACTGATTGAGCTTTGCATGGTAATAGAGGTCAAAGATAGTCTACAGAAAGCACAAAGTTGTTTATCCACTCCAAAAAGCTCTGTATACATTCACAAAATAAAGGTTCTATAGGGTCTTTCACAGTTATAGGAACTCGGTTATAGGGACTAGCCACCAGGCCATACCCCCAAGAACTAAATGTTCCCTTATCCCATAGGGCCATTTTTCTGGTTTTTCTGCATTCACAAAGCCAGTAGGTCCCTTGAAGTGAGATAAACCGGCCGACAGAGACGTCATTAAAGTGCAACATTCAATAAAGATAATAGACATAAAGGATGAGAAGTGACTTATATGATAAGAGCTTATATGCAGGGTTGAGCATATGAGCATTTAAGAGCTCAACCCTGCTATATATATATATATATATATATGAAGAGTTCAGATGCAAAAGCCTCTAAGTGCCATTTGAAATTTTCTTCTAAAATGATCATTTTTATCAAGCTTGTATATTTAAGTTCAGTAGTTTCACTTAAATGGCAATGAAAATTACCTATTAATTGTCATTTAAGTTAAATTACTGAACTTAAATATACAAGCTTGATAAAAATTGTCATTTTAGAAGAAAATTTCAAATGGCATTTAGAGGCTTTTGCATCTGAACTCTTCATATATATATATATATATATATATATATATATATATATATATACACACACACACACATACATACATATATATGTATAGTCTCAGACTACTCTGATGCACTGATGTGAATTACTGCCTTAAGTATGGGAAAGTAATTGACATGGATTTCCAGAGTATTCTCCATAAAATGCACCACAAGTCCTTTCATAGACATACAATAGCCCACATAGTTTTAAGCAGCTCATTATTTAGCTGTTGTATTATCCAGAAAAAAATATTTTTTTCTTTCTCAAGAACCAAATGTTTTATCCAGAAAAAAATTCTTTCTTTCTTTCTCATTGTCAAGAACCAAATGTTTAGCTGACCCATTCTGCCAAATATATTATGCAAATCCCTAAAAGCAAATATTGGCCCATTAAATATGATGTCCTACCCTCCACTTAAAGTCCACGATTTGTTGTTTTTACATGTGTTAGCCACATCCTAGCGATCACCCTACACCCCTACAAAACTAGCAATGACCCAAGAAATCAAATGATCGCTGTTGTTTTGAAATATAAACATCCTTACATGTCCTTGATATACTTTGTGCAGACACATCATCTGTTTTTACCTAAATAAAGCATTAACGTATCTGGGCTTAGTATCTGCAAGTCACAGTCAATGAAAATAAAACAACGTTTACTAAAATAACATTACTCCATGGCCACATCCTTTTTTTTTTTCTTCAGAAAAAGCTTTGTATTTGTGCCCAGATGGTATAAAAGATCAAATACAGTACATGAGGTTTGTTATTTCCTGGTCCGTCACCACCAACCAGGTCAATTCCCTGCTGGCCATCAAACATCCTGTCTCCTATGTGTCTTCCTGATTCCTTAACCCATTATCTATTTGCTCAACAGGGGGAAACCAACCTGCTGTGGCCCACTGAATCAGCAAACTTACAAAAAATAGTAACATAAAAAATACAAAAATCTATTTCAGTAGTGGTCTCTCTTTAAGCTCATGCATAGTTATGCGTAGTTAAAAAAAGAAAAAAAAAAGAAAAAAGATGACATTCATTGGGGTTCTATTAGACCCAATTTTTTATATAAACCCATTTTTTACTCAATTTTATATAGCCCTACATGCCAAAAAGGTTCAATAGCCAGATAAATTTCTTGATCAAACAAATTGAGTTTTTGGGTTTGGGATTGAGTTAAACATCTCACCAACCTCAAACTTTTGAATGGTAATGTACTGTATGCCATGAGGCCTTGGCAGTAATGGAACTGGCAACACTCTTTAGGTGTACATTTGGTTAAATGAGACAGTAACAATGATAGACAAGCATGAGAACTGGCAGTCTGCAGTGCTTAAATCTGAGATCAATTCGTGGCATACAACACAGCAAATGCACTCAGATGAAAAGGTTTTTGGCCCAAGTCCCATCAATCGCAGATTAGCATGAAAGCATAAAAGTGTGTGTTTGGGTGGAGCCATAACCTTCCACAAACCAGCATAAACACAGTCAGATGAAGCCAAATGTCTCTGATTAATTCTACATAGGTAGATTTAGGGTCTCTTCAATTTAAAAAAAAAAAAAAAATTGTTCACCATCATCTGGCATTGCTTTAAGATCAAACATCTTTCAACCTTCAACTGTGAATACTTATTACTTATCAGTACTCATTTCTGTCCTGTCCCATCTAATCATACATGTGCAGATTCTAATGAGGAGTGAGCGGCACGACTCAGAACTGACAACAAACCAAAAACAAGATTTGACGTGAATAATTATTCTATTTAGTGAGAAAGTTCTTCTGAAGACGTACAACATTCACTTGATTATAGTGAATTCACTTGATTATAGGAAAATATCTCTTGATTATAGTACTTTTAGTTGCATCATGCCAGGTTTGATGTCAAAACTGAGTTAAATTTAAGTTAAATCTGTTTGTGCAGTAGACAATGCTATCACAAGGCTTTAGCAGATTTGGATTATAGTGCACAGTTCATATGAAGAGACCATATTGCAACCTTTATGACATTTTGTCCCTATTCATTTTCATTATATCAAAAAGAGTGGCCAGGACATTCTTCAAGAACAATTTTGTTGTAAAGAAAAACAAAAAGCAAGCCAACAAAAAGAACATGGTAAATATAAAAAAATAACACAAAGTTTGGCTTGAATGAGTGTGCATAAATTATGGCAAAATATTTATTTAAAGTTAAAAATCAGAAAACTTGTCCTTTAAAAGTTCAGCTGTGTGAAAAGAGAGAAGACAAGAGACAGATATAGGGCAAAGCAAGTCTAAAAACTCTAAGGAAACAAAGGAAAACAAGAGGAATGGGAGAGCTGAAGGGCACTTAATATATTTAGAAAAATACAAACAGACATGTCCCTAAGTGTACATTTGTGTGAGGAGGAAATAAGCAATTAGCCATTATTTTAAGTCACTGACAGCTCCTGGGTGTGCAAGGTAAAAGTCAAACTCTCCCAGGGTTCTCCAGTTCAGAGTGAAGCCCTAAAAGTATAGGTCATTTCCTGTTTCTCTTACCCTCTGCTTCTGCCCTACACGATTGTTTCCTCTCTGCATAAATCTGTCTTTTGTTTTGTCATTCCATTCATTTCTCTCCATGTCTCTCCAAGAAAAATACATTTAAATTCTGTTATTTAATCTGCTCACCCAGTTGGCCTTAACAAAATTCAATTCTTGCCTAGAACTTTCCATGTTTCCCATGCAAACCCTGAGTGTTCACTGAGTGTAACATAATGTCACATTTGAAGGGTTAAGTGTCTCCTCACCTCCTCCATTACCTCATCACCCAAAAATCGGCAGGAAAAAAACAGGAGACACGGAGGAGTTGAGGAGGGGGTAGCAGTAAATTAAGAGGCATCTATTTATGTTTATGTTTTTGTCTGCAACTAATCAAGATGCATAGCAGGATAATATGGTGTATAGACAAAAAACGGTAACACTTCCTTTTACAGTACAGTACTTACAGTGTACTTACCTAGAAAGTACTGGCCAATATAAGGTAGGTACATGGAACAGGGGTAGGTTTAGTGGTAGGTTCAGGGTTAGTATTAGTTATTACCCAGTAATTGTAGTTACTAAAATAAGTACATAGTATTTACATGGGTAACTGGACTGTAAAAGGAAGCGTTACACAAAATACACTGCATGCTTAACTGCATTGTTGAAACTTTCAGCTATCAGAGTCTACATTTTCTGGTGTCCATTGGATTAGGGCAGGATATTGCAAGTACTTATACTGTATAAACTATATATATATATATATATATATATATATATTATGTTGTGTATCTCAGCCTCTGGTATGAATGATGCGCTGTAGTTGGTAAAGCCTGGTACATGTGGTCGATGCAAGAGGGGACACAGCTGGAACTGGTGCTGTAGAACATATAAGCCATCCACATAATGT